TATGGATCTTTGGCAATTATAGATCCAACAGGAATGCCAGAAACAATGGAACTTGTTATAAATACACCATGAACGGATGGTAATTCATCCATGTTGAGTGCGTCATATGTCAATGCAGAGTTTTCTAATTTACAGACAGGTAGTGAAATCTCTTTTACTTCCTGAATAGGCTTTTGATCCAAGGAATCAATCTTTTGCCTAACCTTGGTGAGTTTCAACCTTTCACCCTCTCTGAGTTCCTGAGAAATTCCAAGTAAATCTCCCAATTTTATGGACACTTCTGTATTATGAATTTGATCAATAAGTTCATCAGTTAGTCCATCACGTTGTATTGGTGCACGGATCTTGTATGATTTCTCACTTGATCCAAACTCCAATTGTTTGAATGGAAACTCCTCTTTTGATACTGCTGGAGTTCGGACCACAGTATTCAAGGGTTTTACTAACTTGAATGGTAACTCATGATCTGTTGTTGGAATTTCATCTACAGTCTCTGATATTCTTACACCTCTCTTCTTTGAAGTTAATGGAACATGTTCTTCAACATGCTTGGAAGACCCAGCTTCAGGTATAAATTCTGACTTCTTACTTGATTTGTCTCTCCAATTTTCTGACAAGTCGGATTTCAATCTTCTCTCCGGAGGTTTATGTGACTTGTTTGCCTCCATCCTTGAGTTTTTCAAAAATCCTGACTCACTTCAGGAGATGAATTTCTGCCAGTTCTTGTGACAGCAAATTGTTCTTGAATTTGATTCATCCCATTCATCATTATAGACATAAATGCACGAGCCATATCTTCAGGATTGTTGGACTGCATATAGGTGGGTTGAACCACCTGATTAGATACTTGACCAGGTGTTGAAACCTTGTTCATAGATTTCTCATATTGATTGAATTTGACCTGCATAGTACGTATCTCATCTCTGAGAATATCAGTTTCTGACATTTGTTCTGGATCAAATATATCCTCTTCTGTTTGAAGAAAACTACTGTTACGGCCAAGTTTTCTGGCCCAGTATTTTTCTACTCTATGACCTAGATATTCTTTTCCTAGGGGCAACATACTTCCATCACCTAAACGTTGTTTACCATTCTCTACTTTCAACCATCCCTTCTGGATATGCACACTCTTCATGGTGCAGTCTCTTGAGAAATGGTCAGTGTCACCACAGTAATAGCATGCACCATCATTTCCTGATGATCTTTGTGCAGATGATCTATTAGGTCTATTCATATTCTCAGAAGGTGAATGCATATGAGGTGGTGTATCTCTCTGAAATGACTTCATAGTTTCTTCCATCCTTTTCAGGACTTCTTCATGATTTGTTTGCATCTGTTTCTTCAGAATATCAGCTGAATCTCTTGAACTTGCAAGCTCTTGTTCAATAGCTTCAATTCTTTTGTCAGTCTGCTCAGTAACTTTAGCAAAGGCAAATGTAGATGTTGAGCGGAGGTTATGATTATACCCTGTCTGGGTATTTAACGCTCCTAAATTTATATCCATTTGTCCATTTGCAGCAAGTTTTTCTGCCAACTTAACAAGTTCTTGTAGCTTAATGGGATCCTCCTTTCTAGGGTCAACTTGCTGAGCAGTACCAGCAGCAGTACCAGTTGGAGTTGCTTGAAATTCTCCCTTGAGCAAGTTTCTAGTAGAGATAGACATGCGTAAATTCAAAGCAAAAGTTGCTTCCAGTGTGTTTAAATAACATTGGCATGCTTCTTTATTTAGCAATATTGCTGGAGCAGTCATTAATTTATCTGCCAGCTTCAGAAACTCAAGTCCAAATCTTCTCAGTTTGCCTTCCTCAGCAACTGAAATTCCTTGATTTTTGGCACAAAGTTTCTCAAGTTCTGATAATTTTCCAAGTCTGACCTCTTCCAGCTCAGGGTAGCATGATTTGACTTCTTTGACAAATGCATCATAGTCCTGGGCAGTATCTTGATAAGATGGGAGACTCTTCCAAATATCACGTTTCTTGAGCGGCAGATAGCTTGTCAATAATTCTTTCTGCTCATTTACAGGAATATTTCCTTTGATGATGATCCGGTTGATCTGATCAATATATTCTTGCAAATCATCTGGATCTTCAGTTGTGAACTTTGGGGCACTTTGGTCCCAAGGTTGTGGAACTTTAAAGGTAGCAACAGACATTCTTGCTCCTCTTAATCTTACTCTGGGTAAAGCTGTTCTTGGTGGGATTGGTGGAGGGGTGGTGGTGGTGGTGGTGGTGGTGGTGGTGTAGTAGTTGTAAAATATGGTAAGGGTACTGTTACCAAAATGTCTGGAGATTGTGATTCAGACTTAGGTTGGTTTTTCAGTGAGGGTGTAACTGGAACTGCTAGATCTGGGAAAGGAATAGACTCAAGTCCTTGAAATTTTGGAAGCTCTGGTGCAGAATAGGATCTTTGAACTTTTGGAAACTTAGGTGAACCTTGGGATGATTCACTCTTAGTATCTGCTAAGAAATCTAGATCTGGTTCTGGCTCAGTGTCTCCACCAAACAGTTCTGTGTCACGAGCTTGAGTTTGTGGTGTTTCAGGAGGCCGTCTTTCAGAAGTAGTTCTGGAAGAAAGTACAGATACAACGTCAGCCCAAGCAGAAGCTCTTTCTTCTGTCTGAACTCTGGTTTGTTCTCTGGCAGTGTCAGCAGGTGTTGAGGCTTTACTTTTACCTTTCTTCCTGTTTCTCGGACGTTTGCGGTGAGGAGTGATGGAAAGGGGTTCAACTAGGTCAGTATTCTTGGACTGCCTGGTTGTTCGAGGTGTTGATGGCTCGCCTAAATTTGGCCAAGCCGTGGTGACTATTTACTTCTGAGTGAAAACCCAGAAGTATGTGAAAACAACAAGTTTTGACAACAATGATACTGATTCGTTTGTAGATATCTGAATGAACCCCTCGCGGTGGGCTCCAGATAATACACGTAGAAAATGAGCAATCAAGGAGATCACTAGGACCTTCAACTTAACTATTCAAATCCTAATTTTGTGCGGTTTGTGTTCGGGGTTCGAGCCGCAGGAAACGGCTAACAGATTCAGATGTTCTTATTGATATCAGTAGTTTTTAAGATGTTGTGTCAACTTGTATTGGTGTTTTCACTTGTGGTGAACAGAAATAGCAGTTGATTGTTGAGGAGTTTAGATTTGAGAGGAGCAATATGGCTCTACTCTCCTAGCACTTGCACTTGCACTTTGCACTTAGAACTTGAACTTGCACTTTGCACTTAACTTGAACTTGCACTTTGCACTTTGCACTTAGCACTTGCACTTGGAATGATATCTAAACTTCAACAAACCCAGCTGATGTGACTATGGTAGTTGTCACAATCAATAGGTCTGATGGGGATTTGATCCCTTGTTCTATTCTTATGGAATTTACAGGCCTCCTTATATACTACTCTAGAAATAATTATGTAATGTGTGACACTGTGACCTGATCCGCTGATCCGCCTCTAGAATGTTCTAGTTCTGATTTCTGGAATGTTCTAATATTCTACCTGGTTCAGAGTTGCCAAATACAGACATGTTACCACTTATTCGGTTTGGTTTCTAGACCGGGTCTATGTCTAGAATTGGTCCAGAACTGTGTAGACCGTCCGGCTGGTCCATTCTGGAATAGATCTAAAGTCTAGAACAATTCTTCTGGAAGTTCTATATATATGGCATGATTATTGTGCTTCAAAATAAATTTATAGAGCCCTCCTGGCATTATTCACCAGTTGTCACATTGACAGCTCATTACCGCTTCAACATCCGTCAAGTACCGCGCTGGATGGGCGCGCTGCATTGCGTCGTCGTGAAGGTGCTGAGCTAGCGTGTGAGCCGATGATCGGCTTTCGGCTTGGTGTAACGCTGTGACGGATGCATATCACTCCACCTTGTGCTCCACGACGATGATGCGCATACGCCCGAATTTGGCTCTGACACGTCGCCCACGTCGCAGCTCCATGGCGAAGATGGACTTCAGGCTGTCGCCTCAGTCACGGTGACCTCAGGCTAGCAAAGGTCGCCACTCTGTCGGGACGAACCGTCCGGTCCGTCCCGGGACCCGGACGACCCGGACTTCTCGAGCACCTCGAAAGGCAAAACACGGTGGTCTCGTTTCCATTAACGCTACATAATTGGAAGATTCAGCTCGAATCAAGCGGGACGGCACATGAGGCTTATGTGCCGACAGTGCCGTCCCAGGTCACTGGCACGGTCCCGGCAAGGGGGGCGCAAGATGCCTATCACGGCTATGGGGCAGGGGGGGGGGGGGGTCCAGAGCCTAGAAAAAAAACTTTTGTGTTTGGTGTAGGGATGCTTCAAGAGGTACTTAGGAGGCCTTAGGAGGCCTTTCATATGTAGATCTTCCATGTTAAATGCCATTTTATACCTTTGAATGCAGTGAAACCCAGTTTTTTTGGTGAAGTGACTAAACTTGTCACAGTCTTTGATAGCATCAACATATCATCATGATGCAAGAAGCAATACAACTTTATATGAAAGTTCATTTAAAGGCATAGGAACATTATAATAGCCTAGTTACAATTTAATTTAATCACATTTTCCATTTTCAAGACCTCTATCGATCATTTTGATGCGGTTTTGATCGCATCAGTCACGTTTTCGTGGGAGATCATTACTATATAAGGCAGGAGGGGGAGGGGGGGGGGGTCCAGTGGGCGCAAAAAAAAACTTTCAGCCCTATGTATGTAATTTCCACCTTGCGCCCCCCTTGGGTCCCGGGAGCGTGTATGTTGGCCTCATTGGTGCTGGTCTCAAGGATGTATGGTAGCCATCGCTCTCTCACACGCTTGGCTTCATCATTTCATCGACCTCAGTTGCCGCGGCGTTCTGTGTATAAAAAGAACGCATAATCCCCTCTTTACACCAAGAGCTATTATAAATAGGCTGATAGCTGAGCAAAATTGGTATTGTTGCCAATAATCGGCCAAAATCACAATTGCGTTAGGTTATAGCTTTGATTTGATCTGCTCTCTGCACGCAGGAGGATCTCTTGGTTAACTGTGTTCCACAGGAGAGATATGCCGGACATACGGAATGCAGAACAGTGGCTCCGTCCACTCGCTTGTCCCGTCCTTGAACGTGATCCAGAGACAGCTTGCGTCGTCGCGGAGTACACACGTGACGATGCCGGAATACCCGTGGACGGTGAAGTTGAGCATCACTGGGTTTTCGTGCTCCAGGCTGCCCTCGAGCGTCCCGAAGTCGACGCGGCCGTCGGGGAAGTCGCCGACGAAGGCCGCATGGAGATGGGTGGCGGAGATGGAGCCGAGAAGCTAGGGCAGGCATGGGGCATGAACAGAGGTGGGGGGAGGGTGTGCGCGAGGACGCACCGTGAGCGCAGGCCCATTTTGACTGCGGAAGGGGAGCGCTTCCTTGAAGAAATGTCTCTGAACCATTATAGTCTCAGCTGTGGATGGTCCTGGCGCGGTTGGGGAATAGATCCGACGACTTGTGAGCTTTTTAAAGGGGTGTACTTCAGGCACAACCAGGTACACTACACTCGGCTGGCTGCCAGCGCAATGTCGCCGGCTCGTCAAGTCGCCGTTTTGTGCCATTCGTGCTGCCAGAGAACTTGAACAGGTCAGAGGCCGACCGGATGCGGTGAGCTAGACCCCCCGAAGTCAGCCATCCACTCTCCGCTCCATTCTGTATGCCGGGCTACTATGCCCAATGTGTCGCTTGTCTGGCCGAGGTGCCACGTCATCGAATTTGAGAGGCGAAGACACCGCTGTTTCTTATACTGGCCAGTCGGCCGGATGACACGAAGTGAGAGCTTGCCTAGAGTTGTTGCAGCACCTCCTCGCGAGCGCGCAAAAGATGGGGGAAAGAGAAGAAGACAAGCAAGCGTGAGAAGACAAGCAAGCAGGTGTGACGGGTGACGTAACTTCCTTTCGGGGTTGTTCCTGACAACCACCTGCGCTTCCGCATCCATGCCGTCCTCCTCCCCTGCTCTTCCGCCCGAACTGGAGCTGGTCATATTCCAGACAGCAGCCAAAGCCTCCTTGCACACATTGTACACCCTCCTCCTCGTCGCGCGGCGCACCCGACTTTGGTGAGTCGTGCGATCGATTTTCGATACAAGTACGCCAAATGCACGCCAGGTTGGAGCCTCTGCTCTACCAAACGCTGCGCTTCAGCCGCGAGTACAAATCGCCTAATCTGACCGCCATGGATCCATCACGGCATGCCTTTCTCGCCCACACTGTGCGCCACGTCGTCATTTCCGGCCACATCGACGCGGACATCCCACCCTTCGTAGCCCCCCTGCGTATCTGTTCGCAGATGACGCATCTTGCCTTAGGCTTCTCCACCTACCATCCCGTTGTGGGCGCGGCGCTCCTACTGCTCCGGCACCTCCGCTGTCTGGCGTTTGACCCGCGCGTCTGCCAGCTGACAGCGAGTGACGCCGCCCTGCCCGTCTTCGCCGGACTCACCCACCTCGAGCTGTTCAAGATGCTACCTGACACCGCCGAGTTCTGCGCCGCTCTCCCGCGGCTGACACACCTCGCGCTGAACACGCTGAACGAGGCGGCGATCACGCAAATGCTCGCCGCGTGTCCCCGATTGGAGCTCCTTGTGATTCTACAGGACGAGGAGAACCCGATGGGCGTTCTGCTCAGCGCCGCCCCCGCGGCACTCACACACGACCAGCGGCTGGTTATCACTGCATACGTCGACTGGGACGAAGGCGTCCTCGACAGCTGGAACTACTGGGCCGTTGCCGAAGAATTCCTTGCGCAAAAGCGAAGTGGGGCTATTCCGAGTGCGTACTTAGGATCTTTGCCCTCGCGCAGTGGCTGATCGAAGCTCAAATAGAGACTCAATTCGTCGCGGATCGAGATGAGACGTAAATTATCCCCATCGACCACGCGTCTACGCCTGTAAAACATCGTGCCACAAATCGAATCCAAACCTATTAAATAACCATAGAACTTCTCAACCCTTCACCCTCCTCCGCGTCCTGGTCCCACCAACAACCCCCGCCGTCCCCCCCTGCCAGGGCCAGCAAACTTGCGCCGTTCGCACACACTGTGACACAAGCTCTTCGTTCGCCCGTTTCAGCTCGTCGTTCATTACTTGCAGGTCTTTCGTCGCCGTCGACAAGGAAGCAAGGAAACGCGGGATCCGCGCGTGAGTGACAAGGCGCGCACGCACTATGCGTTTTTCATCTTGACCATGTTGGGAGCTGCTCTCGGCGGCCTCTCACCCTGTGCCCGTTGGCCATGGTCCGAGTCGGAGTGCGGCGGCATCTTCTCTTTGAAGAGCTTGCGGGCTGTTAACGGTATCGGGAGTGCCGGACGCGCGGTGATGCGCGGTCCCGCATGTGATTGCGGCCGGCCGGAGCTCGGGTTAGGGCTGTGCCGGAGGAGCGCTTAAGTAGCGGCGTCCGCGTGGCTGGTAGCCACGCTTTTATCTCCCTTTCTTCCCTTTGTACCCTCGGGTAGTGGTCAAGCTATTCGTCTGTTGGCACTCGATCGGGAGCGTGCGGCCTGGTTAATAAGCGCTGATTTCTGACACGGGCTATTGAGGCCGGGTGTCACGGTAGGAGTGTGCGGGCGAGTACCGGAATGAAATCAATCAATCAATCGATTATCGATTATCGGCGTGACATTTCTTGCACAGGTTGCTCCGCACCACCACCACACGCCCAGCTACATGAACCCCTGCCTCCGCATCCCCGAAATTGTGCTCCAGGTGGTGCAGCATGTCACCAGCGACACAACCCGTGCCGCGGCCACAACCACCCGTGCCGATCTCGCGCGGCTAGCGCGGACTTCGCGTCTTTTCTCACACTTTGCGTTGGAGCAGCTCTGGGCAGACGAGCGCTTCTTGAAGCAAAGGGACAGGATACTGATCAATCTGCTTCGCTGCTTTCCACCTGACCTGGTGACGCTCACCAAAACAGACAAAGGCGTGCGCGAAGTGGTGCGTTCGATACACATCAAGTTCATGGCCAGCCACTGATTCATGATAATCACCTGTAGCGTCAGCTGCGTCCCTTCATCTTATCTGACTTGGACCGCCCGGCGCGGTACTTCCAACTCATCAGGAAGTTCTACCATGAGCCCACCGACACCAAGCGGCTGGAAACGAGCATCTTGATGTTGTTTGCAACATGGTTGCCCTGGGATTGCATGTTTCCTGCACTTGAACAGCTTCGGTGGACCATCCCATTCTCATGGGACAGAGTTAACACTGGAGATACACCGGAGGTCGTACTACTTCTTCGCGTCCTGCTGTCGCCTAAACTCAGATCCCTGTCTCTGTGTGGAATTGACAAGGGCACACTCTCTATCCTCCCTCTTATAGCCGCCCGCAAATTGCCTCTTCAACACTTGACTCTCCACACAAAGAGAGATGCAGACCTCTTTCCTGTGGAGTCGCTGGCGACGTTCTTGTGCACCATAGACCCCCTTGAAAAGTTAGACATTGCACCGTCACTTCATCGCCATGTATTCCGCAATCCCGAGTCACTTGCAAATCTGGTAGAACTGCGCGTTACGGGCGGCACTGACACACCTCCCTCCGACACAGCATTCCCGGCACTGAGGCGCTGTGTCTGGTCTGAGACCAACCTAACCGACGCCCCTCGATTCCTGCGCGCCATACATACATCTGCACTGGAGCTTCTCTCATTCGAACCTGAACTCCCTGTTGCCACCACCACGCTTGTCTCACATCTCTTTTCCGCGCTCGATGCACTTGAAACAGCGCGCAGCTCACTGCGCAGCTTCGCCATCAGAAACTCCAACTATGAGCTGCTGTCGCGATGGGAGTGGGACTGCCCGTGGCAAATCGACCCGACGGCACTCTCCCACCTAGGCAACTTCCCCGGTCTAACCAACGTGACGTTGATTGCGCCAGGCGGGTTCGGCGCCCTGGATGACGCGGCCGTGACTGGGCTCCTTCAGCAGCTCCCGTGCCTCCAGCAGCTCTGCCTCACCCAGCCGAACTTGACGGCCGGGAGTCAGTTGACGCTCCGACTTTTATCTGTTGCCGCACGCCACACATGCCTGCAGCATCTGGAATTGACGATGGACGACAGTGCCGGGCCGCCGGCGGGGCCCGTCGTCCCGTCAAAGAGCGTGCTCACGACGTTGGGTGTGGGGTACACAGGTATTGCCCACACTGACCCGGCCCCGATGGCGCACTTGCTCGCCATGCTGTTTCCGGTGGTGAGGCATATCAAACACCAGTGGATGGATGACCGTGAGTATCTCGACAACGACGGCCTGCTCTTCAACATCGCTTTTGATGAGGCAGACCATTTCGCTGAGCGCTGGAATGCGGTCTTGAGCTTGGTGGAAAGGAGGCAAATTCGGATATCAGAGCAGTAATAAGAATAGAGTTGGGCAAGGAAGTATTGGGATACAGTTACATATGGTGAAAGAGCCGGATGGTAGTCCTGACAGCAGAGTGCTGACGCGTACTGTCGCGCGCCCTGTTGCTGTTGAGGCCGGGTGCGAAGCAAAGCCTGCCGGGCATCATGATGTCGGCGGGATTTGTGTTATGTCGCCGAAAAACGAGGATATAAGGGAGAGAACGAAGCCGCGTTTGTGATTGGCAAAGTATGAGAACGCAGTTTTGCCTTGAATAGACAATTGCGATCATCTATAAACGTGTCGGTGCCAAAGTCAAAGGATGAAGACCTGCCCCGGGCCGCCGCACCTATGGAGACCGTGGCTCCCTCTCCGCGCAAACGCGCCAAATATGCCCCCCGTCTTGCCGACCCACAACTGCCTCGACAAAACTCACCCACATGCCGAAGAAGCGTTCCCACAAGCTGTGGTCGCCACAGTCGCGCACAACAGGAAGAGCATCGACCTGCCCGCGCAGAGCCCCACTCCAACTCAAAGGCGCGCTGTTGCCAGGTAACAACCGTGTCTGCCGACGATATACGCGCCCTTGCGGGAGACGAGGTACAGGACGGCCATAACGAATTTGAAGGCGGGGGTATGTGTGGTGGAGGGGGGGAGGGAAACGGCTGCTGTGCAAGCGAGCTGAAGCGCGTATAAGGAGACCGACGCGAAGCATAACGAGGAACGCACCAGTTCCCTCACGGGTCCCAGTCCCACTTTGCAACCCGCCACGCTCCGTATCCGGCCAATCGGTGACCACCAACTCGGAGGCTAACCAGACGGGAGAGTTGTTCAATTTGCTGACGACTGAAGTCGCAGGAGCAGGCGCTTTGAGCGTAGCGTCTGTGCTTGGCCGAAGTGAGCGTTAGTAGGGAGTGGTGTCGGGCAAGCGTGGAGGCATACTCACCCTGCTGGAGCAAACAGACACGGTAATGGAGGCCTCCATTTGCGCCATGCCATATCCACGCACACGCCGCTTTGCCTGATTGTCAAGGGCAGGCCTCTGCCTGTCCCCTGTCCCACCAGTTCTCCCCATCGACGACCTGCGCGGCGCGGGCGCCTAGCTGTAGTCTCAGTCAGAATAGCAAGACCAGCGGCGAAACGCGACGTACCTTGTCCTCGACGCGCTCGCCATGGAGGTCCGATATCGCGTGGTGTTCGTCGGTCGAGACGAAGATCCGGCTCGGCGTCACAGGTCACAGGTCACGGTGACGTGGCACATGATCAGCGCCAACTTACGACACGACCACCACCACCACGACGAGCTCTGCCCGTGGAGCGACGACGGGGCCTAGAGGCGGTTGGGTCTCCGCGCATTCGAATCAACCACACCCCCTCAACAGGGCTTCATGTTTTGCCAGATGTCGGGTGGGGATTTCAAGTTTCGTCTGTCGCGTGAAAAGCGCACGACCACTGACGCAGCCGCAGCCGCCCTGCCCACGTCGACCAATTCCACGAGCTTATGGCTAATTTATATTCACGGGCTGACACATCCAATCGGGTTCCAAATCGCGCGCCGACTCTGGCTTGCGAGGGTTGCCGGGCCATCGCGGGCCGGCGGCATCGCCCTTTGACGACGACTGCCTGTGCCGCACGCTTCGGTCCCGAGTCGACACGGCCTGTAGAAGCGGCAACAATAGTCCAGTCAAATGACCTTTCAATGGACAAAGGATGCGCAATACGAGTAGAAGGCTCTTTGTGCTGAACTTCCTTTGTCGTCTTCACGCCAAAATTCGACCTTTGTCTATACAAGATACAAAAAGACGTGCACCACCGACGTCCGCTCTCATCCTGCTCCTCCCACTCAGTAGTCCGGCACTATCCTTAACATCCCCACCCAGCTCATTGCGATGTCCTTCTTTGCATCTACACCAAATCTCCCCTCCTTCCCATCCAGCGACACTCTCTACCGCTCTCCTTCCGCTGAGCCACTGCTCGCAGTCGCTAGCCCCCCCTCTCCACGGCGCCCCCGACCCTCCCGCCCCGGGCCTGCCTCCTTCGTGCGCTCATCCTACACCAAAGTCGCGCGAATCGTCCGCAAAATCACGCCCGCCGCCCACACTCGGCGTCTCCCCGCGCCAAAATCGAAGACCAAGTCCCTTTCGCTGTCGCGCTCGCTCTCCGCGTCGCCCAGGCGCCATACGCGTAACCACAAGCGCCTCGCAATCGTGTCGCCCCATCCCGCTGCTCGTGACCCTATCGAGCGCGGCGACGAGAATGCTGCGTGGCTCGACCTGAGCCCCTCCGGGTCAGCGTTCTTCGTGCCGCCGCCGACACCCGCCGATGGCTGCGACCATGCTCCGTCGGAGGACATTCTTTCTGCGGTCGAAAATAGCCCCACGCGCAGTGTCCAGATCCGAAAACAGCGCGCGAAAATCGTGCAGATACTCGGTCCGGAGGCGCAAGGTGCTGCGGAGGCGTCGATGTCCAAGTCATAAGGTCAACAGCTCAATTGTATACTACCTATACCGTATTTTTCGCCATTAATTGGGCAATTTGCCGGTCTCAGCCGTCGTGCGCTGCCCTCGTGACGCAGAAGACCTCAAGGACAGCTTGGTCAAAGCCCTGGGATTGCTCCGCGGGATTGACTTATTCTGTTATTCAGTTATTGTGAATCTGAGAATAACAAATCATTTCAGGTAAAATATTTCCAAATTTCAGAGCCACGACATGTACATTGGCGCTTGCTGTATACCCACGAAGTTGTTTACTGTAGTATTTTACTCAATTCACATGTCACATGTCACACCTGTCAATTTATGCGAAATTTTTTCGTATGTCACAGCAAATCTTCCAAAATCCCTTCCCCAAATGGTAATTTATCCAGTATGTGATTCAGTTCCTATTTCTAAGGTAGCTCGCAACCACGTTCGGTGAACCCCACTCTGACATGATCGTCACGCGTCCAAATCAGGAGACACCCCTACCCAATCTGGATCTCAAGACTGGCTCGAACAAATCCTCTGTAAATTGTCCAGATGTTGTCTGTACATCATAGTATACCTATTGTAATGAAAAAATAAAAAAAGCATCTAATATAACTGGGTTTTCTGCAGGTTTGATCTTACCATCACTTTTGATTGCCTGTCAGATTTCGGAATGCTTGAAACTGCACAATGGCACCAAGCAAGCAGAAGACTCAGCGTCGAGCTCAATTCAAGCTCAATTTGTCACAAGTGGCCAAGCGCACAATTGATGCTGTTCTCCGTACTCCCAGCAAGATTAGGCAGTCACTCTCCCCAAGAAAGAAAGCAAGGCATGACGAGAACACGGCAAGAGAGTCTCAAGACACAGTGCGTATGCAGCACCCACTCAGACTAGATCAAAACTTAATATGCCTTTGTGCATAGAGAAGTGTGCTTAGTGATTGGTCAAAGGCACCAGCATCAACCCACGACACAAACCACGACCCACTCCGTGCTTACACCAATGTTTTTGAACTCACAAATGCCATTCCGAACACGCCAAGTGCACCACCAATGACATTCTCATTCACTTGGATGGCTGACAGTGCACATATTGGTCGTGTCGATCCTGCTGATCCTTTTCGGACACTCTGTCTGCCCCACACCAGAAACGTTACAATGGAAGCACCCAAGGTGTTTACACACAATTGGAAGCCTCCCTCCGTTGAAGAGGTGCCAGAAGACGATGACTGCATGTCCATATCGACATTCCCTCAGTGGAACTCTCATTATGATCACCGGCAGACACTAGTCGACAGCGAAATCTCTCCCATGGCATCTCACGCTCCCACATCGTGCGATGGACTCTCTGATGCTGATCGCCCAAGTGCAGATGACTGTGATGCTCTGGACGAATTTGAGCTGGCAGAATATGAGGCGGAAATGCGGAGTGGACACACAACCCAGGTTGATTACCCAAGACCCGCCGCTCCGGCGGGGGTCTTAAATGCTGATAGTGATGGGATTTGTCGTCGACCACCCAAGCTTGAAGATGCACGCGCAGCATTGAAGAAAGTGCAGGCGGTTTTGCGAGGTGCCCCACGCGGAAACCAGCTCTTCGGGAAGGCAGGTGTAGGCTACAAAGACTGTCATCTGGATCCCTTTTCACATACGCGTTTGGTGGGAATCCGAGCGCTTCTCTGCTTGTACACCGACGAGAATTCACTGTCATTCATGTGTTGGGGGGACTCAATGCTCACGGCAGCTATCTCAATGGGAAAGGGCAAGTATTGTGCACGTATCTTAGCCATCTTGGCGCGGCAATACATCATCGATGGGGAATTGCTTGAGCTGAACCCGTATGGGAAGTGGACGGACAGCATTCTCTCAGACGAAGATCTTACAGCCGACTTGCTGAACTTCTTACAGCTCCAAGGCAAGAATATCACCGCCCAGAAATTACATGATTATCTCTGTAGTGCCGACGTCAAGGCGCGACATGGCATTGAGACTGATATCTCACTTGCAACAGCAACTCGATATCTCCAAGCACTGGGTTATCGGTACTTATGTTTCCAATTTGAATTTGACTTTTCCGATACTTACCTGCAAATTTCTAGGTTCTCACATCCAAAAACCGGTCAGTATGTTGACGGGCATGAATGACAAGATGTCGTGGACTATCGAACAAATGTGTACTTGCCAAGATACTTCGCTTTACAAGCTGGGGTCTGGGTTTACGATAATGATGGCTTGTCTGTTCTTCCGACACCACCAGGCCAACGCACAATCATATGGTATCATGATGAAAGCGTGTTCTACGCACACGACCGCCGTCGAAAGACATGGTATCATAAAGATGAGAATGCAAAGCCGTATCGAAAGGGTGAAGGACAATCTTTTATGGTGGCTGATTTCTTTTCCGCTGATTTTGGCTGGCTTCGAAATCCATGGACTGGCGAATCAGCAAGACGATGCATTCATATTGGTGTCAACAAGGACGGCTATTTCACGAACATTGAGGTACGTGAACAGGCCAAATCTGCCGTTAAACTGGTCCAAGAGCTGTGGCCGGAGTATAAGCATGTCTTCATCTATGACAATGCAACCACACACCGCAAACGACCCGAGGGTGCGTTGACAGCAATTGGTATGCCAAAGGGACCATCTGGTCAGACACAACGCAATCCACAAGCCAATTTCCTTGCCGAGATCAACTTGGTGGAGAACGGGAAAATCGTCTACGACCATGATCGCAAGCCAATGAAAACTAAGATCGAGTACCAAGGTGCCAAATTTGCCGATGGAACTCCACAGGACTTGTATCACCGTACTGGGCCAATGGCAGGGAAGTTTAAGGGCATGCAGCGTCTTCTCGAGGAACGTGGGCTGCCTGAATTGGCCAATCTCCGTGCGCAATGTGGTGACACACTCAACAAGTGCAACGACAAATCAGACACCGGTGCATACTGTTGCCGACGAGCACTCTTTAACCAGCCGGACTTTGTCAACGTAAAATCAATTCTCGAGGAAGAGTGTGAAGCTGCTGGTGTAGAGATTTTATTTCTCCCCAAGTTCCATTGCGAGCTCAATCCAATTGAGCTGGTATGGGGCTATGCAAAGAGGTTATATCGGCTAAACCCCGAGTCTTCACGAGCAGAAGATCTTGAGCGGAATGCAGTTGCTGCTCTGGATGATGTGCCCTTGCTGTCAATGCGCCGGTATGTGAATCAAGTTCGATAGATCTGCTTTCAAGTGCTGACCATTGACATCCGACTGTTTCCGACAGCTTCGTCAATCGCACACATCGTTTTGCCGATGGATACTTCCATATGAATCTGACAGGCCCTCAGATCGCTTGGGCAGCGAAGAAATACCATGGGCATCGAACTTTCCCTTCAGACATCATGGACCAGCTTGTCAACTCAGAAGTGCCCTTGTAACCAGTTGCGTTATGACAATTGCCGTGTTTTCACACAAACATGTATGATATCTCAATTTTTTATATATATTCGGAGCAGGACAATGGTCAGGTTTGTATGTGCAAAAACTCAGAGGATTTGTTCGAGCCAGTCTTGAGATCCAGATTGGGTAGGGGTGTCTCCTGATTTGGACGCGTGACGATCATGTCAGAGTGGGGTTCACCGAACGTGGTTGCGAGCTACCTTATGATGATTTGTGATTCAAGTCAAGCCCCTATACACGACGGTCTAGTTTAGCAACGTGGTCATCTAGTACAGTAATCCCCTAACCGGCCATGTGGCTTCTCCACCCCACGGATCGCAAATCCTGTCTGAATAAGCAAAGCCATGTCATTGTGCGATTTGATGCGCATCATCGACCCTGCCAAGACTGTCGCGTGGGAACGTGACGTGTACTCCTTGAAATTTTCCATCGCGTCACCCACTCTCGCGCAAAGAACGCTGGCGCCGTCGGCCCACTCGCAATGAAGCAGGATGCGACCCTATCAGGGGCACCCTACGTCCGAGTGGGAGGGGCCACGGTGCGTATTACAGAGCCCAGTCGTAACAAGTTGGCACTAACAGCACCTCAAATTATACACTCGCCTCGTCGTGTGAAGAGACACCGGGTCATCTCTGGGCCTTGACGGCTTGCTCGTCTCTCTCCACCAGCCGAGCCCTTACTGGTGTAAGCCAGAGCTAGGGAAGTGTCCTAGCGCAGGCATATGTCATGTCCCTTCGGGCCCTGGTCCTCGCAGGCTTTAAGTAGCGCGGGCGGCGCCGTCGTCCTGGCTGCCGCTCCGGATGCACGACATGCTCACGCCGTCAAAACAGACCTACCTCGCGTGCGTTACCGTTGCCCCTCCCATCCGCTCATCTGACAAGCACAGACCCGCCCTTTGCGGGACGTGGGTCAATTTCATGCTGTACATGCTCGAGCTGGTGTTGGCGTGGCAGTACTACACGGGCAGGCGGCGTGCGTGCCGATTTCGTCCTCTCTCTCAACCTCTGACATCCGCAGTGTGTGCTCCGGGGGCAACGACCCCGCTTGTGCGCTGGCTTGTGGGCCTGCAGGTCACGGTAGATACGCTGGGCACCGTTTTCGCCGCCGCGACGGTCTATCTGGTGCGTATATCTCCAAACATCGGTCGGCGCTAAGGGGATGTAGCTGCTGGTGGTTCATTGGGGCGATCTCCCCTATCTCGCGCAAACCCCTTGGTCCATCGCGCTCTACGTGCGCCTCCCCCCCTCTGCATCCGCGTATCGGCTGACGACCCCCAGTGCATCACGACGGGCGTGAGCGCGTTCCTCGAGCAGATCTATCTTATCTGGCGCTATTTCATCCTGTGCGTTTCAGCGTCCCTGTCGTATCCATGCTGACGTCACTCTCAGCTCGAAGAACTACTTCGTTTGCGTGCTGATATTACTGGAAGCCACGGCGTCGCTCGGCGCTTCGTTTGCCATCGCCGTGTTGACATTCATGCAGCCAATAGCAGCAAACCGCGGGCGAGCTATGCCTCTCACACTGTGCGCTGCGGCTTTCGCACGCTTTGGTTTACTCATCTTTGCTCAGAGTATGGTTCATCACCGGTGCTATCGCGGACGTGGCCATTGCGCTCGCGCTGGTTATGCAGCTGCGGCGGTACAAGTCGCCGTACAAGCAGACGCAGCACATCGTGCGGCGGCTGATCGTGTCCGCGATCCAGACGGGCTGCGTGACCGCGCTCGTGACCATCTTCGCGCTCATCGGGTTCGCGGTGTGGCCCCACACGGCGGTCTCGCTCGCGTTCGGCTTCTTCCTCGGCCGCGTCTACGGCTGCACGCTGCTCTACAACCTCGTCTCCCCGCGCCCGGAGGCCGGCGGCGCGGACGTGTCGCAGTCTGCTCCGGTTTCGTCCGGCCGCGAGCGGCGCGCGACGGTGTTGGAGACGTTTGGCGGTATACGTCGGTCTTTTGGTTACACACGCATTCTGGGAGGCACTGACGCGCCCACAGACGTCCACCAAATTGTCCAGATCACCAAGGATGCGGACGTTGACATGAAGCGCTTCCCGGCGCCCACAAGCCCCGTGACCGACGTCGACGAGCTCACGGAGGGGGACGACGTGAGCACCCGGGTCTGCGGGGTGAGGAACTCGAAGGATTCCGATATCTAAGAGGGCACGGCTAATCACTGAGCATTCGGCATAATAAAGTATACTAACCAAACTGTAAAACATGGACTGTCGAGCGTACACTACCCTCAGACCCCTGAATAACTAGCGTTCCACAGAAAAAAATATACACTCAGGCGGACAACTCCGAAGTGCCCAATGTCGCATCGAATGACCGCCAATGATGGTATGACACAGACATGATAAGTATGGCGTGCGGAGGAAGGTCCGCGAATGGGCTGGCTACGACACTGTCCATTATCCTGTCATATGCAGCGCAGCGCAGTGCTGTAAATACATTACATCATGCTCTGACAGGTGCGCAGACATGCAGGCACGCCTGGCATGCAAGGGTGGGCACGATGGCGCATCTGTTTGCCCGCGGGCCAACTGAATGTGACGCCGCATCGGTTACTGCACCGACTAGCAAAACCACAGGCTGCCTAGCAAGGGGAAACAAGGAGACCGTGAAGACGACATAAACAGCACCCGCCGTTGCATCGAACGACAGCCCCTGACAGTGAAGTTGACACTTGCCTTTCCCATAAGCATACAAGTAGGGCTTGCCACGACAGGGGCAGTCGGGCATGCCGAAACAGCGAATACTTATGTGACTCGGCCAAGCAGACAAAATCTCATCAATCTGGAGAAAAAGGGTGAAGAGGTGACGTCAATGAGCAGCCCAATGTCCAAGGGGGGTTCAACATTCGAATCACGAATATAGGGTCGGAAAGTTTTTTTCCGACTCTCTGGGGACCCCCCTCCTGCCATATAGGGTAATATGTTCCCACGATCAGTATCATGTGACCACTGATGCGATCAAAAAGTGGCATAAACAATTTAATCTTGTGAAACTTTTTTTTTCCAAAAGAATTTATGTATTTGTATATGTATGTGTGTAGGTATCTACTGTAATAATGTATTCAATTCGGCGGCGAAAAACTGTGTGACATCGGCGCCGAAATGAAAATTTCGGCGCTGCCTGGTAATCTGTGTGACTGCCGAAAAAATTCGGCATATTTAGCGGCCCGGAGGGCCGCCGGAGAAATTTTGATGCTCTAATGGCCGTCTGACATTCGGCATCTGAATAATAAGTTGTGACACGCCGAAATATTTCGGCGCCGGAGGTCCCGGTGTGACGCGTGACCGCCGAATTGAATAAATTGATACAGTATGTACCTGGAACTCTCAAACACATATAGCAGGCCATATCACTGTAAAATATGTTCACCTCCCATCACATACCTGATAATGTGCCTGTAACTGGGTATGCTATCCAAGCTCATGGGCCTGAAAGTATATAGATATAAGTATGGGGGTTATGAACTATAGACATTAGAGTGTATACACTATATTTTCAGTGTCTTTACACCCATATAAGGCTGAAATCTTTCATATACAAAAAGTTTTTTTTACCCCCCGGGGACCCCCTCCCCCTGACCCCCCCTCCCCCTGACCCCATGTGCCTGATAAGATCCCCCCTTGCCAATGTCACATCGAACGACCGCCTAGAATAGACGATGCAGCCGCGTGGCCCGGGAACAGCAGCAGATGGGCTGGCTAGGGCACTGCCCACCACGCTCTTGTTTGTACATGCCGTCGGCCGCCAGCGCGGCCAGACCACTCAGCGTACAGTGTGCATCCAGGTTGGGGGCATGCAACAAGATTATTAGAGATTGAGAAAAAACTCCCAGGAATAACTGTCAACGCCCAACTTATCGCATCGAACGACCGCCACAAACAAGCACCTCTCTTCTTCATATACGTGAGGAGGCCGCCCCAGGCATAGATGTGCTGGGACGAACACCACCGTCCCGGTGGCACTCACGCGTCCGGACGGCGGCAGTCCACGCCGGCGGCGTCCGCGGGCACGCAGTTCTACACAGGACATCATCAGCGACCTTCAATCGGGGCACCGTTCACGCACATAGACGATCTCCAGACGCTCCGGCTTCCACGGCGCACCGTTGACCTCAACTGTACCAGCCGGCGCGCCGACGCGGTGTACGGCGCTGCGGACCGCGCCACGTGAGCCTGCGAGTGAGCCTTAGTTTTCAAAAAGAATCAGAAGCTTACCTCGCTGCAGCATGTCGCCCGCGTTGAGCAGCACCGCGCCAGGCACCGGGAGGATCGGCTGCCATGCACGCTCAGTCACGCGGGAGAGCGGAGGGAAAACGTACGTGGAACACGCCGGGCTTCTCGGGGTCCTCCACCTCGAGGCCCTCGACATCCCGCTGGAAGGTCAGCTGCAATGCGCCCGGGGTCGTATGCCTGCAGCGCGCGTGATCAGGCCGGCGGCGATGGCCGATTCAGGGACACTGTCATTTTGTCAATGTGACGACTAGCGGGACGGACAATAGCGCACGGGTGGTACCGCACGAGGCGCAGATCATTTTCGCTACTGGTGCCGACGGCGAAGTGGTCGTCGGGAAGGCCCAGTGCGAGGGCGAGTCCACGGAAGACGGCGCTTTCGAGTGCGTGGCATTGCTGACGAGTTCAGCGAGTGAGGAGAGAGCGGAGGACACACCTCATACAGCCCCAAACAGCTCGCGCGGAAGCCGGTTTCCACCAGGCCGTCCGGCTTCTCGTCCAGCCATATGTTGGGCATACCCGCATTGTCTTTGCTCCCCAGCACAAAGCTCTCCTTCATGTCGGTGGGGTCCGGCAGCGCCAACTCCGCAGGCGTCGCGCGGTCCCGCCGCCCGACACAGAGAAAGCCGCGCGGGTAGGGCTGCATGGCGGGGCGCAGCGCGAGCAGCTTCGTGCCAAAAGGGAGGGAGAACCACTGTCTGGCCTAAACAATAGTGGTCAGCTCTAGTCAAACCATTGGGAGGGAGACACACCATTGCAAACGCCGTCTCCACCGCAGCCTGCTCCACCCCGTGGTTCACGACATACACAAATCCAGTCTCGTGCAGCGCCGCAAGCAGCTTGTCGGCGACGGCCTGGCGCCCAGCAGCGTCGTTCGCCTTGTCCAGAAACGGTGCAAAGTCGACGACGGGGATCTTCATCTTCAGGCGGTGGTGGTGTCGTCCAGAAAGAAAGACGACCTGTGGGAGGCCGCATGGCGCATCCGCACCCATTCCCGACTTCGCCGCGGGAGGCTTAACGTCCGCTCCCGGTCGGGAAGCCCAGCAGCATCTCGACGCGCGCTCATGGGCATGCGCGGAGGCAAGGGGGCCGTGGCGCCGGCCTGTGACGTGGCATGCGCACGTGTCGCGCTCGCTTATCACCCACCTTCCTTCCTTCTCCCGCTCACGACCCCGGCCCAGCTCGCAACGCGCCTGCCCGTACCGTTTCGCCAACAGCAGCCCGCGTGGGATCCAGATAAGCGCCGCGGACACAACACACGGCGCTGATGACAGCGAGCGCGCGGGGAAGTCCGGCGCGGGGTTGAGAGGAGCAAGCAACACCCGGCCTTTCGCGCCGAAAGCACGTGGTGCTCTCAAGTCCTACCCCGCTCGCCCGCTGCACCGACCGCGCCCGCGGCCCGATCCGGCCCACGCCACGTCCGCCTCCCGCCAAGAGACGCGCCGCTCGCCTCCCGCCAACGCCACGTCCACAAGCCGCCGGCCGGGGCCGCCAAACCAACGGCAGGTCCTGCCGAATCTGTCTACCGTCGCTAACTACTTCCTCCAGCCGCTTGCCGATTGGCTCCGAGACCCCCCAACGGCCTCCCGCCCTCGCAGCCGTTCGAATCGCGCAGCCGCTTGGGAAGGACAAGACAGTCAGGGCAACGCCGCGATGATCAGCGAAACACACACCAAGCACCTGTCTGAAGACAAGACACGATAGGAAGACTTGAAAATGACGATTAGCACGCTGCAGGAGAGAGAGAGGCGCAGAGTGTTACCGTTACCTTCCGCGACCTGACATTGCGCTGACGACAAGTCAGCGACGCGCGGCTCGCCGAGAACACGCACCTCTGCCATTTGGCGACCTGGCAGCGTGTCAACAACGTTGACAAGGTATGGCTGCCCACGCGAATGCAATCCCTGACTTTTCCCCTAGAACGGGGTCCAATTCAAAGTCAGCACGCAAGTAAGGCGATGAAACGGGGACACACCGAACGACGCGTTGTGTTGGCGAGGAGTGGATGGACGTTGCCGGGGCTGCAAGCTGGTAAGCCTTGAAAACCTAGACATTGAGAAAAAATGACCAGAGAAACAGCCTCGACGTTCGCGAGCGTTCGGAGGCGAAAGGGAAGATAGGTTGGAACATACCTCCAGCAAAGACAATGATGAATGTCAAAGGCTACCCACGCGCCTTCAGCATTGACATCGACGGCACCACTCCGAACCATGGTAAGCAAACGAGCAAAAACAACGCGGGTGATGACTCACCTTTGGTCAACAAGCACCAGCCTCGACGATGGTCTCGAACAGAGCGGGCGGAGGCGGGCAACGGAGGAGCGGAAGGCGATACTGAGCGGACGACGACGGACTCTGTTGGGAACGACAGCTGGTGAGCAACAATACATCCAGCGGCGCAGACTCACCATTGACAACGGCGGACAGGTCTACAAAGAACAGTAGGCACGCGCCATTGTCAATGTCTGACCACGCACCTTCAGCCTCGATGTCGACGACACCACTCTGAGTCTTAGCAACAACGGTAAGCACATGAGTAAAACAACGATGGTGACGACTCACCTTTGGCCAACATGCACCACTGCAGCACCAGGCTGGACCACGGTATCGAAAGGAGGAGCTCGTCACAAGGCGGGCAGCGACCGGCAGGGTATGTACAGAGATATCCCCGGGCTGCTGGGTCCCGACGGGCAGCGACAGCGAGGGCGGCACGTCGGAGTCAGGGAGCGTGGGAGAACATCCGGCGCTCGGGTACGAAGACCCGAGCACGTGCCAAAAGTCAACCACCACCGCTTTCCCCGTTGCTTCCCCGCTCGCAAATCGCGATACCGCCAAGCGCCGAGCGACGAACGCTGTTGGAAAAAGGTCAGAAACATGGCCGACGTAGGCAGGCCACGTACCTCCGCCTCCAAAAACACTGAAAATGCGGGGGTGCGGCCTAGAAGGGCGGTTAGCGTGCCTCGACGATGGTCTCGAACAGAGCGGGCGGAGGCGGGCAGCCGCATCCATGGCCGTCCGCCGGGGCCGGAGACATTCAACGCTGGGCCACAGCGGGAAGCGCGAGCGAAAGAGGGCTGTGGGAGTCAGGAAGAGGGAGCGTGGGAGGACATTCGGCGCTCGGGTGCGAAGACCCGAGCACGTGCCAAAAGTCAACCACCACACAAAACCCTTCTCCCCGCTGCTCCTCCGCTCGCCAATCGCGATCTCGCTGCGCTGAGCGACAAACGACGCTGGAAAGAGGTCAGCAACATGGCCTCGGAAGGCAGTGACACACACCTCCGCCGCCAACAACACCAAACATCCCCCAGGGTGCGGCCTAGAAAGGGTGGTCAGCGTGGAGATCGTGAGGGACAACGAGACTGGCAAACGATGGACCGAGGCAAAGCTGGACACTGTGAAGAGGTCAGTGAGCAAATCAGGAAAGGGAACGATAACTTCGGGGGCAAGGGCAATGACGCGCGCGAAGTCAACGAATTGAGGCTCCGGGGCGAAAGTGTCGGATGGGGGGAGGGAAAGAGAGACGGGTGCGACGTTGACAGCCCGTGCTAGTTCTTATAGGCGTGGAGCTCGCTTAAGGTTGGTTGACATACCGCCCGAGCTGGACCGCCGCTGACATGTCGGAACTTCTTAGAAATGGAGCGGTGTCGGTTTCCAAGCCGCAACCGGAGCTATTTTAAGTATCAAACTCGAACTACCTCTGAGGGTAAAATGGTAAAATGGCTAACAACGCTTTAGAGTGCAAACTGATGAAAGAGCTTGCAGTGAATTGAAATGTGTGCAAGTTGAAGTGCGCGAGACCGAAATCGCTGGCGCAACGACTTACGACAGATGCCATGTGTTATGCTGACGCAGTGCGGAGAGTCGCTTCGCAACGTGCGCTTTACAAAGCGGAAATCAGTGTGGACACCAGAAATGATTTGAGGAGATCGGATGATTCTAGGCCCGCGGAGCCAATCAGAGTTGTCTTCAGGGTAAAATCGAACTATTAATATGTTTCCTATCATTCATCGGGCTTGATGTCTATTCCATCTTCGCTGGGCACAAGAAACAGCATAGACTACCTTCGGTTAAATTCAACAGGATCACATGCAGCGATAAGCCTCGGGACATCTGGGCGCGGTTGAGCATAGGATCCGCCTTCGCCCGTCTGAATTGACCGTATCGACGCGTGTGGAAGTGACAGAGTCCGAGTCGTGCCGGAAGAATTGCCCAATCAGGCATCCAGTGTTATTGGTGATGGCGCCAAAAAAGTGTGAGTCCCCAGCAGCTACTCAGGACAAGACATATTTCACCAGTGAGGCGCGAGAAACGCGTCATTCTGGCATCTGTTTTGGCGGAAATTGGGTACACAAAAAAAATTTCCAAGGGATGAAAGAAGAAAAAGACTGAACCGCGCGGTGTCGAAAACAACAGAGAGGGAGCGCAGCTGTACCAAGATTCTACAGAGGTTGTCTGCCCTCGGGGATTCATCAGGGTAAGCCCGGGCGGCCTGTCACCGGTGTCTTGATATTCTTTGTGGGCTGCTTCTCTTGCGTGATCACGAAGCGGAGACCCTGATCATGAAATGAAACCCTGAATACTTCGCCGTTCGGCGTTCGTCCTTCCCCGAGGGTTACAAAGTTTTCGGTCAACTTGGATATATTCCAAAAATAGTCTGCCGGCAATGGCGCAACCTGCATATGGTTACCAATAATAACTGCCCGCAACTTCAACACCTGTCCTAACACCTTCCCCCTCTTGATTCTGCACTTCCCCTCTGACTGCACGGGCACCAAACCCTGCCCCTGACGCGTCGCATGACGCGCCATCACGATGGCGTGCGCGCGGCCGGCATCAGTATGCTGTGTCGTAACCACTTTCCGAGCCGGTATCACCCCGGGCAGCGGATTCATTCATTAGGGAACGATGGCGCCGCTCCTTCACTGAGCGCCGCTGACTGACGCTGACCGATGCTGACGGCCACCCTGGCAACAATCACCCTCGGGCCATCATTTCTCCGCAGGCCGTTCGCCGCTTCTTCACCGCCTTGACGGCATCTTCATTCGCCGCGCCGAGAATTCCCCGACCCTTGATGTGATACCCTGAAGGGATCAAATCATAAACAAGGTCACGCACTTCTCTCCTTGTCTTCGCTCCACCACCACCCCCTTCTTGCTGCTCGTCGCACCCGCCGTCCGCCAAGGTATGATCGCCTCCCCGTCGTTCTTCTCGTTGCTCATTGCCGGCTTCAGGTCAATCTCGACGGTGGGGTGGGCTCTTTGCTTGTTTCGGCGGGCTCGCCTCCAACAACGACTCTGCCGCTGCTGCTCAGGGCACTCATGTCAACACTCCGTGTCAGTCCAGACTCGTCTGTCCGGACCATTCACTAACTTTTGACCAGACTCTGTCCTTTCAGGGCTGCCCTCCAGCCATTCGCGCTGTGTATCCGAGTCAGCGTGAAGTCGCCTGGGCGCGCTCCCTTTGGTCTGTTGTCTGGGGGCAAGCCTCGAGCCATTATTGATGGATGCCGCCGTTCACGCTGTGTATTCGGTCAAGAGAAGTGCAAGGGTTGTCGGTATGTCTGGTCATCTTGCACTTGCGTTATGTTGCTAATGTTAACATAGCCACTGTCTGTCGCTGTGCTGCCAGTGTCAAAGGCATCGGTGTCCCGCGACTGTAGGGTCTGCATATCCAAGGCATCCACCGCCGAACAGCTCATGGTCGGTTCTCTCCATATATGGTATGACAAAGCTCTGACTCTCGAGCTTAGATTCAGGGACATCATTCATCGCAGAGGGGGAACTTCTGCTTGTCCGTCAAATCTCTACTCGTACATTGCCGCGCTTCACATTTGGTCCCCCTATTGACCCAAGTTCAGCTTCTATCTTGTCGTTATCCAGCGCAAAAAGGGAGGGGGAACCTCTGCTCGTATGACGGACATGTGCTGGTAAGTCATCGGTGCTGCTTGATGCTATGATATTAATGCGCGGCATAGATATGTTCCGTCTCTAGCTACACCACCCCGGAACTCTATCGGTACGTAGTCGTCACTGTCGCCGCATGATTTGGTGTTGATGTCAGCCTCAGATTCATCGTCGTTGTCATCAAAGTGGCTGCACTTGACAATTCAGAGGGGGAACCTCTGCTCGTCCGTCAAATGTCTACCGGTACGTTGTTGTCGTTCATATTTTGTCTGATATTCATCTCAAACTTAGCTTCGATCTTGTTATTATTGACCGCAAAACGGATATGTGCTGCACCACCATCCCCGACCCTCTGCTCCGGTGATCAAGCTCTATCGGTACGTTGTTGCCGCTGTTGCCGTATGATCTTGTGTTGATGTCGGCTTAAGATCCATGGTCGTTGCCATCGATGTGATACCCCGCGCTGTCATCAGAGGGGGAACCTCTGCTCGTAGCAGTGGTATGTCATCTTGTTTGCTTATCCGTGTGCCTTGCATTGATTTTTGAAGTCCTCTGACATGATACTCAGCGTTGTTGCTGTTGTTGATCCTCGTTACCTGATGGGGAACGTCTGATCCGGCGCGCGGTAAGCTGTCACCGTTGTGGGGATGTTGTTTGAAGCTGATTTTATCCTCAGATCTCTGGGGGACCTCTGCTGGCCGAACCGGCTGCTGCCATCGGCAATGAGCGGCATATCATGATTTGATGCGATCATCAGATTTTGATGGTATTTTCGGGGTGCGTTTTGGCGCCATTTTTTCTGTATTCAAGGCTCAAATTTTCGCAGGTCCGGGCCGCCGGAGGCATGTGAAACGCCTTGGCTCTCAACTCTGCGTTGACAGCTGTTGCTGTCTCTCCCCTTCCGCCGTCGCTGTCAAACGCCCCAGATTTCACGGTCACCTTCCTTTTCGGGCCTGCCGATGGACGGATCAATGATATCATCATATTTTGATGGTATTTCCGGGGTACGTTTTGGCACTCACTTTTTGCAATTCAAAGCTCAATTTTTCCCAGGTCCAGGCCGCCGGAGGCCCGTGTCACGGCCTGACTATCAACCGTTGCGGGCACAGTGGTTCCACCACTGTTGCCAGTGCCAAATCAGTCGTTGCTCATCGTCGGGCTCACCTATTGTCGGCATCGTGTCACCCGACATCACCGGTGCTTCGCCCGCGATCGCGGCGCCTTTACCTTGTCCCTCAACGCCAATGCACACCCGCTCTGCCACGGCTTTCCTCAAAACCCTTTGCTTCGCCCCCGCCCCCGCTTATCCTCCTCCCGCGACCCCTGCCGAGCCGTTTGCCGATTGAGGCTTTGCCATGGCCTCGCTTCCGGCTCGCACCGGCAGCATTTACCATCTTCCCCCGCTCGCCTTGCCTTCCTGCCCGCACCGCATTGCCAACGTTGCGGTTTCAGACTTCGGCCTTACCTCGCTCACTCCTCCGACCCCTTGCTTGCCGTTGCGGTCACCTCCAGCCTTGTCCTCTGCCCGCGCTGAGTCGCCGCCGACCCATGCCGAGCGGTCTTCCAGTTCAGACTCCGCCAAGCCCTTGCTCGCTGCCCGCGTTGACCACGCGACCCTGCCTTGCGATGCCGATGTCTCCACGACATACTCCACCCTCCGCGTTATTCTCCTCCTCGGCCATCCCCGCGACCTTCTCCGCTCTTGCTGCGCGGACTGTCTTTGCGGCTCCACATCATCCACCCAACCTTCATGCTCCCTGCCTTACCGCCCATCCCGGCCGTCGCTACCCACGACCATCGCGGCCTTATCTTGTGTTGACCGGCACCTCTTGTGCCCTTAACTTTGATGGTATTTCTGAGGTGCATTTTGCGCCGCTTTTACGCGATTCAAGGCTCATTTTTTTGCAGGTCCGGGCCGTTAGAGGGCGCTGGACGCGTTTTTGCGAGCTGGCTGGACTTGGTGGACTTGGGGCCCAAAAGACGCGTCGCGACGCGTGTTAATTAGCGTGTCTGGTAAAAATAGAAATGTATGGACTTTGCATTCTTTCGTGTCTGCCCGGAATGCCCGAGCCAGCCCAACCTCATGCCCCCCGCATCCATGCCCGAGAAGCCCACCAGACACGTCCAAAACCGTCCCCAAAGTCCAAATTTTCGCCCCACCAAGTTTATCCCGTGACTTTGAATAGGTCCGTGCGCCCAGAAAAGAGGTATATTAGAGGGGGCTCTCGCTCGCGCGACTTGGCGAGCGAGCGCGACTTAGCGTTGGAGCAAGCCGTGCGGGCACCAGTATGGTTTGACATGGGAAATAGAAACATATGAAGCCGGGCAGGAATTACGAGATCGCATGATGTGCTGAGGCCGCGCGTCCTCCGCAGGCACGCAGTTCTACACAGGACATCATCAGCGACCTTCAATCGGGGCACCGTTCACGCACATAGACGATCTCCAGACGCTCCGGCTTCCACGGCGCACCGTTGACCTCAACTGTACCAGCCGGCGCGCCGACGCGGTGTACGGCGCTGCGGACCGCGCCACGTGAGCCTGCGGGTAAGCCTTAGTTTTGCAAAAAGAGTCAGAAGCTCACCTCGCTGCAGCATGTCGCCCGCGTTGAGCAGCACCGCGCCAGGCACCGGGAGGATCGGCTGCCATGCACGCTCAGTCACGCGGGAGAGCGGAGGGAAAACGTACGTGGAACACGCCGGGCTTCTCGGGGTCCTCCACCTCGAGGCCCTCGACATCCCGCTGGAAGGTCAGCTGCAATGCGCCCGGGGTCGTATGCGCTGCAGCGCGCGTGATCAGGCCGGCGGCGATGGCCGATTCAGGGACACTGTCATTTTGTCAATGTGACGACTAGCGGGACGGACAATAGCGCACGGGTGGTACCGCACGAGGCGCAGATCATTTTCGCTACTGGTGCCGACGGCGAAGTGGTCGTCGGGAAGGCCCAGTGCGAGGGCGAGTCCACGGAAGACGGCGCTTTCGAGTGCGTGGCATTGCTGACGAGTTCAGCGAGTGAGGAGAGAGCGGAGGACACACCTCATACAGCCCCAAACAGCTCGCGCGGAAGCCGGTTTCCACCAGGCCGTCCGGCTTCTCGTCCAGCCATATGTTGGGCATACCCGCATTGTCTTTGCTCCCCAGCACAAAGCTCTCCTTCATGTCGGTGGGGTCCGGCAGCGCCAACTCCGCAGGCGTCGCGCGGTCCCGCCGCCCGACACAGAGAAAGCCGCGCGGGTAGGGCTGCATGGCGGGGCGCAGCGCGAGCAGCTTCGTGCCAAAAGGGAGGGAGAACCACTGTCTGGCCTAAACAATAGTGGTCAGCTCTAGTCAAACCATTGGGAGGGAGACACACCATTGCAAACGCCGTCTCCACCGCAGCCTGCTCCACCCCGTGGTTCACGACATACACAAATCCAGTCTCGTGCAGCGCCGCAAGCAGCTTGTCGGCGACGGCCTGGCGCCCAGCAGCGTCGTTCGCCTTGTCCAGAAACGGTGCAAAGTCGACGACGGGGATCTTCATCTTCAGGCGGTGGTGGTGTCGTCCAGAAAGAAAGACGACCTGTGGGAGGCCGCATGGCGCATCCGCACCCATTCCCGACTTCGCCGCGGGAGGCTTAACGTCCGCTCCCGGTCGGGAAGCCCAGCAGCATCTCGACGCGCGCTCATGGGCATGCGCGGAGGCAAGGGGGCCGTGGCGCCGGCCTGTGACGTGGCATGCGCACGTGTCGCGCTCGCTTATCACCCACCTTCCTTCCTTCTCCCGCTCACGACCCCGGCCCAGCTCGCAACGCGCCTGCCCGTACCGTTTCGCCAACAGCAGCCCGCGTGGGATCCAGATAAGCGCCGCGGACACAACACACGGCGCTGATGACAGCGAGCGCGCGGGGAAGTCCGGCGCGGGGTTGAGAGGAGCAAGCAACACCCGGCCTTTCGCGCCGAAAGCACGTGGTGCTCTCAAGTCCTACCCCGCTCGCCCGCTGCACCGACCGCGCCCGCGGCCCGATCCGGCCCACGCCACGTCCGCCTCCCGCCAAGAGACGCGCCGCTCGCCTCCCGCCAACGCCACGTCCACAAGCCGCCGGCCGGGGCCGCCAAACCAACGGCAGGTCCTGCCGAATCTGTCTACCGTCGCTAACTACTTCCTCCAGCCGCTTGCCGATTGGCTCCGAGACCCCCAACGGCCTCCCGCCCTCGCAGCCGTTCGAATCGCGCAGCCGCTTGGGAAGGACAAGACAGTCAGGGCAACGCCGCGATGATCAGCGAAACACACACCAAGCACCTGTCTGAAGACAAGACACGATAGGAAGACTTGAAAATGACGATTAGCACGCTGCAGGAGAGAGAGAGGCGCAGAGTGTTACCGTTACCTTCCGCGACCTGACATTGCGCTGACGACAAGTCAGCGACGCGCGGCTCGCCGAGAACACGCACCTCTGCCATTTGGCGACCTGGCAGCGTGTCAACAACGTTGACAAGGTATGGCTGCCCACGCGAATGCAATCCCTGACTTTTCCCCTAGAACGGGGTCCAATTCAAAGTCAGCACGCAAGTAAGGCGATGAAACGGGGACACACCGAACGACGCGTTGTGTTGGCGAGGAGTGGATGGACGTTGCCGGGGCTGCAAGCTGGTAAGCCTTGAAAACCTAGACATTGAGAAAAAATGACCAGAGAAACAGCCTCGACGTTCGCGAGCGTTCGGAGGCGAAAGGGAAGATAGGTTGGAACATACCTCCAGCAAAGACAATGATGAATGTCAAAGGCTACCCACGCGCCTTCAGCATTGACATCGACGGCACCACTCCGAACCATGGTAAGCAAACGAGCAAAAACAACGCGGGTGATGACTCACCTTTGGTCAACAAGCACCAGCCTCGACGATGGTCTCGAACAGAGCGGGCGGAGGCGGGCAACGGAGGAGCGGAAGGCGATACTGAGCGGACGACGACGGACTCTGTTGGGAACGACAGCTGGTGAGCAACAATACATCCAGCGGCGCAGACTCACCATTGACAACGGCGGACAGGTCTACAAAGAACAGTAGGCACGCGCCATTGTCAATGTCTGACCACGCACCTTCAGCCTCGATGTCGACGACACCACTCTGAGTCTTAGCAACAACGGTAAGCACATGAGTAAAACAACGATGGTGACGACTCACCTTTGGCCAACATGCACCACTGCAGCACCAGGCTGGACCACGGTATCGAAAGGAGGAGCTCGTCACAAGGCGGGCAGCGACCGGCAGGGTATGTACAGAGATATCCCCGGGCTGCTGGGTCCCGACGGGCAGCGACAGCGAGGGCGGCACGTCGGAGTCAGGGAGCGTGGGAGAACATCCGGCGCTCGGGTACGAAGACCCGAGCACGTGCCAAAAGTCAACCACCACCGCTTTCCCCGTTGCTTCCCCGCTCGCAAATCGCGATACCGCCAAGCGCCGAGCGACGAACGCTGTTGGAAAAAGGTCAGAAACATGGCCGACGTAGGCAGGCCACGTACCTCCGCCTCCAAAAACACTGAAAATGCGGGGGTGCGGCCTAGAAGGGCGGTTAGCGTGCCTCGACGATGGTCTCGAACAGAGCGGGCGGAGGCGGGCAGCCGCATCCATGGCCGTCCGCCGGGGCCGGAGACATTCAACGCTGGGCCACAGCGGGAAGCGCGAGCGAAAGAGGGCTGTGGGAGTCAGGAAGAGGGAGCGTGGGAGGACATTCGGCGCTCGGGTGCGAAGACCCGAGCACGTGCCAAAAGTCAACCACCACACAAAACCCTTCTCCCCGCTGCTCCTCCGCTCGCCAATCGCGATCTCGCTGCGCTGAGCGACAAACGACGCTGGAAAGAGGTCAGCAACATGGCCTCGGAAGGCAGTGACACACACCTCCGCCGCCAACAACACCAAACATCCCCCGGAGTGCGGCCTAGAAAGGGTGGTCAGCGTGGAGATCGTGAGGGACAACGAGACTGGCAAACGATGGACCGAGGCAAAGCTGGACACTGTGAAGAGGTCAGTGAGCAAATCAGGAAAGGGAACGATAACTTCGGGGGCAAGGGCAATGACGCGCGCGAAGTCAACGAATTGAGGCTCCGGGGCGAAAGTGTCGGATGGGGGAGGGAAAGAGAGACGGGCGCGACGTTGACAGCCCGTGCTAGTTCTTATAGGCGTGGAGCTCGCTTAAGGTTGGTTGACATACCGCCCGAGCTGGACCGCCGCTGACATGTCGGAACTTCTTAGAAATGGAGCGGTGTCGGTTTCCAAGCCGCAACCGGAGCTATTTTAAGTATCAAACTCGAACTACCTCTGAGGGTAAAATGGTAAAATGGCTAACAACGCTTTAGAGTGCAAACTGATGAAAGAGCTTGCAGTGAATTGAAATGTGTGCAAGTTGAAGTGCGCGAGACCGAAATCGCTGGCGCAACGACTTACGACAGATGCCATGTGTTATGCTGACGCAGTGCGGAGAGTCGCTTCGCAACGTGCGCTTTACAAAGCGGAAATCAGTGTGGACACCAGAAATGATTTGAGGAGATCGGATGATTCTAGGCCCGCGGAGCCAATCAGAGTTGTCTTCAGGGTAAAATCGAACTATTAATATGTTTCCTATCATTCATCGGGCTTGATGTCTATTCCATCTTCGCTGGGCACAAGAAACAGCATAGACTACCTTCGGTTAAATTCAACAGGATCACATGCAGCGATAAGCCTCGGGACATCTGGGCGCGGTTGAGCATAGGATCCGCCTTCGCCCGTCTGAATTGACCGTATCGACGCGTGTGGAAGTGACAGAGTCCGAGTCGTGCCGGAAGAATTGCCCAATCAGGCATCCAGTGTTATTGGTGATGGCGCCAAAAAAGTGTGAGTCCCCAGCAGCTACTCAGGACAAGACATATTTCACCAGTGAGGCGCGAGAAACGCGTCATTCTGGCATCTGTTTTGGCGGAAATTGGGTACAAAAAAAAAATTTCCAAGGGATGAAAGAAGAAAAAGACTGAACCGCGCGGTGTCGAAAACAACAGAGAGGGAGCGCAGCTGTACCAAGATTCTACAGAGGTTGTCTGCCCTCGGGGATTCATCAGGGTAAGCCCGGGCGGCCTGTCACCGGTGTCTTGATATTCTTTGTGGGCTGCTTCTCTTGCGTGATCACGAAGCGGAGACCCTGATCATGAAATGAAACCCTGAATACTTCGCCGTTCGGCGTTCGTCCTTCCCCGAGGGTTACAAAGTTTTCGGTCAACTTGGATATATTCCAAAAATAGTCTGCCGGCAATGGCGCAACCTGCATATGGTTACCAATAATAACTGCCCGCAACTTCAACACCTGTCCTAACACCTTATTCTGCACTTCCCCTCTGACTGCACGGGCACCAAACCCTGCCCCTGACGCGTCGCATGACGCGCCATCACGATGGCGTGCGCGCGGCCGGCATCAGTATGCTGTGTCGTAACCACTTTCCGAGCCGGTATCACCCCGGGCAGCGGATTCATTCATTAGGGAACGATGGCGCCGCTCCTTCACTGAGCGCCGCTGACTGACGCTGACCGATGCTGACGGCCACCCTGGCAACAATCACCCTCGGGCCATCATTTCTCCGCAGGCCGTTCGCCGCTTCTTCACCGCCTTGACGGCATCTTCATTCGCCGCGCCGAGAATTCCCCGACCCTTGATGTGATACCCTGAAGGGATCAAATCATAAACAAGGTCACGCACTTCTCTCCTTGTCTTCGCTCCACCACCACCCCCTTCTTGCTGCTCGTCGCACCCGCCGTCCGCCAAGGTATGATACGCCTCCCCGTCGTTCTTCTCGTTGCTCATTGCCGGCTTCAGGTCAATCTCGACGGTGGGGTGGGCTCTTTGCTTGTTTCGGCGGGCTCGCCTCCAACAACGACTCTGCCGCTGCTGCTCAGGGCACTCATGTCAAGACTCCGTGTCAGTCCAGACTCGTCTGTCCGGACCATTCACTAACTTTTGACCAGACTCTGTCCTTTCAGGGCTGCCCTCCAGCCATTCGCGCTGTGTATCCGAGTCAGCGTGAAGTCGCCTGGGCGCGCTCCCTTTGGTCTGTTGTCTGGGGGCAAGCCTCGAGCCATTATTGATGGATGCCGCCGTTCACGCTGTGTATTCGGTCAAGAGAAGTGCAAGGGTTGTCGGTATGTCTGGTCATCTTGCACTTGCGTTATGTTGCTAATGTTAACATAGCCACTGTCTGTCGCTGTGCTGCCAGTGTCAAAGGCATCGGTGTCCCGCGACTGTAGGGTCTGCATATCCAAGGCATCCACCGCCGAACAGCTCATGGTCGGTTCTCTCCATATATGGTATGACAAAGCTCTGACTCTCGAGCTTAGATTCAGGGACATCATTCATCGCAGAGGGGGAACTTCTGCTTGTCCGTCAAATCTCTACTCGTACATTGCCGCGCTTCACATTTGGTCCCCCTATTGACCCAAGTTCAGCTTCTATCTTGTCGTTATCCAGCGCAAAAAGGGAGGGGGAACCTCTGCTCGTATGACGGACATGTGCTGGTAAGTCATCGGTGCTGCTTGATGCTATGATATTAATGCGCGGCATAGATATGTTCCGTCTCTAGCTACACCACCCCGGAACTCTATCGGTACGTAGTCGTCACTGTCGCCGCATGATTTGGTGTTGATGTCAGCCTCAGATTCATCGTCGTTGTCATCAAAGTGGCTGCACTTGACAATTCAGAGGGGGAACCTCTGCTCGTCCGTCAAATGTCTACCGGTACGTTGTTGTCGTTCATATTTTGTCTGATATTCATCTCAAACTTAGCTTCGATCTTGTTATTATTGACCGCAAAACGGATATGTGCTGCACCACCATCCCCGACCCTCTGCTCCGGTGATCAAGCTCTATCGGTACGTTGTTGCCGCTGTTGCCGTATGATCTTGTGTTGATGTCGGCTTAAGATCCATGGTCGTTGCCATCGATGTGATACCCCGCGCTGTCATCAGAGGGGGAACCTCTGCTCGTAGCAGTGGTATGTCATCTTGTTTGCTTATCCGTGTGCCTTGCATTGATTTTTGAAGTCCTCTGACATGATACTCAGCGTTGTTGCTGTTGTTGATCCTCGTTACCTGAGCGCGGTAAGCTGTCACCGTTGTGGGGATGTTGTTTGAAGCTGATTTTATCCTCAGATCTCTGGGGGACCTCCTGGCCGAACCGGCTGCTGCCATCGGCAATGAGCGGCATATCATGATTTGATGCGATCATCAGATTTTGATGGTATTTTCGGGGTGCGTTTTGGCGCCATTTTTTCTGTATTCAAGGCTCAAATTTTCGCAGGTCCGGGCCGCCGGAGGCATGTGAAACGCCTTGGCTCTCAACTCTGCGTTGACAGCTGTTGCTGTCTCTCCCCTTCCGCCGTCGCTGTCAAACGCCCCAGATTTCACGGTCACCTTCCTTTTCGGGCCTGCCGATGGACGGATCAATGATATCATCATATTTTGATGGTATTTCCGGGGTACGTTTTGGCACTCACTTTTTGCAATTCAAAGCTCAATTTTTCCCAGGTCCAGGCCGCCGGAGGCCCGTGTCACGGCCTGACTATCAACCGTTGCGGGCACAGTGGTTCCACCACTGTTGCCAGTGCCAAATCAGTCGTTGCTCATCGTCGGGCTCACCTATTGTCGGCATCGTGTCACCCGACATCACCGGTGCTTCGCCCGCGATCGCGGCGCCTTTACCTTGTCCCTCAACGCCAATGCACACCCGCTCTGCCACGGCTTTCCTCGAAACCCTTTGCTTCGCCCCCGCCCCCCGCTTATCCTCCTCCCGCGACCCCTGCCGAGCCGTTTGCCGATTGAGGCTTTGCCATGGCCTCGCTTCCGGCTCGCACCGGCAGCATTTACCATCTTCCCCGCTCGCCTTGCCTTCCTGCCCGCAGCGCATTGCCAACGTTGCGGTTTCAGACTTCGGCCTTACCTCGCTCACTCCTCCGACCCCTTGCTTGCCGTTGCGGTCACCTCCAGCCTTGTCCTCTGCCCGCGCTGAGTCGCCGCCGACCCATGCCGAGCGGTCTTCCAGTTCAGACTCCGCCAAGCCCTTGCTCGCTGCCCGCGTTGACCACGCGACCCTGCCTTGCGATGCCGATGTCTCCATGACATACTCCACCCTCCGCGTTATTCTCCTCCTCGGCCCTCCCCGCGACCTTCTCCGCTCTTGCTGCGCGGACTGTCTTTGCGGCTCCACATCATCCACCCAACCTTCATGCTCCCTGCCTTACCGCCCATCCCGGCCGTCGCTACCCACGACCATCGCGGCCTTATCTTGTGTTGACCGGCACCTCTTGTGCCCTTAACTTTGATGGTATTTCTGAGGTGCATTTTGCGCCGCTTTTACGCGATTCAAGGCTCATTTTTTTGCAGGTCCGGGCCGCCGGAGGCCAACATACCGGCCCGACTGGCAACGCTGCCGGCACAGTGTTGCCCACTGTTGCGCCGTGTTGGGCGGGAGACGCTAGAGACGGCTTTATGACGCGTCGCAACGCGTGTTAGATGGCGATGGCTGGGCTGCGGAGGTGTTTTGCGTTGCGGCGCGCGTGTTAGAGGGCGCTGGACGCGTTTTTGCGAGCTGGCTGGACTTGGTGGACTTGTGCCCAAAAGACGCGTCGCGACGCGTGTTAATTAGCGTGTCTGGTAAAAATAGAAATGTATGGACTTTGCATTCTTTCGTGTCTGCCCGGAATGCCCGAGCCAGCCCAACCTCATGCCCCCCGCATCCATGCCCGAGAAGCCCACCAGACACGTCCAAAACCGTCCCCAAAGTCCAAATTTTCGCCCCACCAAGTTTATCCCGTGACTTTGAATAGGTCCGTGCGCCCAGAAAAGAGGTATATTAGAGGGGGCTCTCGCTCGCGCGACTTGGCGAGCGAGCGCGACTTAGCGTTGGAGCAAGCCGTGCGGGCACCAGTATGGTTTGACATGGGAAATAGAAACATATGAAGCCGGGCAGGAATTACGAGATCGCATGATGTGCTGAGGCCGCGCGTCCTCCGCAGGCACGCAGTTCTACACAGGACATCATCAGCGACCTTCAATCGGGGCACCGTTCACGCACATAGACGATCTCCAGACGCTCCGGCTTCCACGGCGCACCGTTGACCTCAACTGTACCAGCCGGCGCGCCGACGCGGTGTACGGCGCTGCGGACCGCGCCACGTGAGCCTGCGAGTGAGCCTTAGTTTTCAAAAAGAATCAGAAGCTTACCTCGCTGCAGCATGTCGCCCGCGTTGAGCAGCACCGCGCCAGGCACCGGGAGGATCGGCTGCCATGCACGCTCAGTCACGCGGGAGAGCGGAGGGAAAACGTACGTGGAACACGCCGGGCTTCTCGGGGTCCTCCACCTCGAGGCCCTCGACATCCCGCTGGAAGGTCAGCTGCAATGCGCCCGGGGTCGTATGCGCTGCAGCCGCGTGATCAGGCCGGCGGCGATGGCCGATTCAGGGACACTGTCATTTTGTCAATGTGACGACTAGCGGGACGGACAATAGCGCACGGGTGGTACCGCACGAGGCGCAGATCATTTTCGCTACTGGTGCCGACGGCGAAGTGGTCGTCGGGAAGGCCCAGTGCGAGGGCGAGTCCACGGAAGACGGCGCTTTCGAGTGCGTGGCATTGCTGACGAGTTCAGCGAGTGAGGAGAAAGGGAGAAGGACACACCTCATACAGCCCCAAACAGCTCGCGCGGAAGCCGGTTTCCACCAGGCCGTCCGGCTTCTCGTCCAGCCATATGTTGGGCATACCCGCATTGTCTTTGCTCCCCAGCACAAAGCTCTCCTTCATGTCGGTGGGGTCCGGCAGCGCCAACTCCGCAGGCGTCGCGCGGTCCCGCCGCCCGACACAGAGAAAGCCGCGCGGGTAGGGCTGCATGGCGGGGCGCAGCGCGAGCAGCTTCGTGCCAAAAGGGAGGGAGAACCACTGTCTGGCCTGACAGTACAGCGTCGGCTCTAGTCGAACGATGGGGAGGGAGACACACCATCGCAAACGCCGTCTCCACCGCAGCCTGCTCCACCCCGTGGTTCACGACATACACGAACCCCGTCTCGTGCAGCGCCGCAAGCAGCTTGTCGGCGACGGCCTGGCGCCCAGCAGCGTCGTTCGCCTTGTCCAGAAACGGTGCAAAGTCGACGACGGGGATCTTCATCTTCAGGCGGTGGTGGTGTCGTCCAGAAAGAAAGACGACCTGTGGGAGGCCGCGTGGCGCATCCGCACCCATTCCCGACTTCGCCGCGGGAGGCTTAACGTCCGCTCCCGGTCGGGAAGCCCAGCAGCATCTCGACGCGCGCTCATGGGCATGCGCGGAGGCAAGGGGGCCGTGGCGCCGGCCTGTGACGTGGCATGCGCTCGCTTATCACCCACCTTCCTTCCTTCTCCCGCTCACGACCCCGGCCCAGCTCGCAACGCGCCTGCCCGTACCGTTTCGCCAACAGCAGCCCGCGTGGGATCCAGATAAGCGCCGCGGACACAACACACGGCGCTGATGACAGCGAGCGCGCGGGGAAGTCCAGCGTGGGGTTGAGAGGAGCAAGCAACACCCGGCCTTTCGCGCCGAAAGCACGTGGTGCTCTCAAGTCCTACCCCGCTCGCCCGCTGCACCGACCGCGCCCGCGGCCCGATCCGGCCCACGCCACGTCCGCCTCCCGCCAAGAGACGCGCCGCTCGCCTCCCGCCAACGCCACGTCCACAAGCCGCCGGCCGGGGCCGCCAAACCAACGGCAGGTCCTGCCGAATCTGTCTACCGTCGCTAACTACTTCCTCCAGCCGCTTGCCGATTGGCTCCGAGACCCCCCAACGGCCTCCCGCCCTCGCAGCCGTTCGAATCGCGCAGCCGCTTGGGAAGGACAAGACAGTCAGGGCAACGCCGCGATGATCAGCGAAACACACACCAAGCACCTGTCTGAAGACAAGACACGATAGGAAGACTTGAAAATGACGATTAGCACGCTGCAGGAGAGAGAGAGGCGCAGAGTGTTACCGTTACCTTCCGCGACCTGACATTGCGCTGACGACAAGTCAGCGACGCGCGGCTCGCCGAGAACACGCACCTCTGCCATTTGGCGACCTGGCAGCGTGTCAACAACGTTGACAAGGTATGGCTGCCCACGCGAATGCAATCCCTGACTTTTCCCCTAGAACGGGGTCCAATTCAAAGTCAGCACGCAAGTAAGGCGATGAAACGGGGACACACCGAACGACGCGTTGTGTTGGCGAGGAGTGGATGGACGTTGCCGGGGCTGCAAGCTGGTAAGCCTTGAAAACCTAGACATTGAGAAAAAATGACCAGAGAAACAGCCTCGACGTTCGCGAGCGTTCGGAGGCGAAAGGGAAGATAGGTTGGAACATACCTCCAGCAAAGACAATGATGAATGTCAAAGGCTACCCACGCGCCTTCAGCATTGACATCGACGGCACCACTCCGAACCATGGTAAGCAAACGAGCAAAAACAACGCGGGTGATGACTCACCTTTGGTCAACAAGCACCAGCCTCGACGATGGTCTCGAACAGAGCGGGCGGAGGCGGGCAACGGAGGAGCGGAAGGCGATACTGAGCGGACGACGACGGACTCTGTTGGGAACGACAGCTGGTGAGCAACAATACATCCAGCGGCGCAGACTCACCATTGACAACGGCGGACAGGTCTACAAAGAACAGTAGGCACGCGCCATTGTCAATGTCTGACCACGCACCTTCAGCCTCGATGTCGACGACACCACTCTGAGTCTTAGCAACAACGGTAAGCACATGAGTAAAACAACGATGGTGACGACTCACCTTTGGCCAACATGCACCACTGCAGCACCAGGCTGGACCACGGTATCGAAAGGAGGAGCTCGTCACAAGGCGGGCAGCGACCGGCAGGGTATGTACAGAGATATCCCCGGGCTGCTGGGTCCCGACGGGCAGCGACAGCGAGGGCGGCACGTCGGAGTCAGGGAGCGTGGGAGAACATCCGGCGCTCGGGTACGAAGACCCGAGCACGTGCCAAAAGTCAACCACCACCGCTTTCCCCGTTGCTTCCCCGCTCGCAAATCGCGATACCGCCAAGCGCCGAGCGACGAACGCTGTTGGAAAAAGGTCAGAAACATGGCCGACGTAGGCAGGCCACGTACCTCCGCCTCCAAAAACACTGAAAATGCGGGGGTGCGGCCTAGAAGGGCGGTTAGCGTGCCTCGACGATGGTCTCGAACAGAGCGGGCGGAGGCGGGCAGCCGCATCCATGGCCGTCCGCCGGGGCCGGAGACATCCAACGCTGGGCCACAGCGGGAAGCGCGAGCGAAAGAGGGCTGTGGGAGTCAGGAAGAGGGAGCGTGGGAGGACATTCGGCGCTCGGGTGCGAAGACCCGAGCACGTGCCAAAAGTCAACCACCACACAAAACCCTTCTCCCCGCTGCTCCTCCGCTCGCCAATCGCGATCTCGCTGCGCTGAGCGACAAACGACGCTGGAAAGAGGTCAGCAACATGGCCTCGGAAGGCAGTGACACACACCTCCGCCGCCAACAACACCAAACATCCCCCGGAGTGCGGCCTAGAAAGGGTGGTCAGCGTGGAGATCGTGAGGGACAACGAGACTGGCAAACGATGGACCGAGGCAAAGCTGGACACTGTGAAGAGGTCAGTGAGCAAATCAGGAAAGGGAACGATAACTTCGGGGGCAAGGGCAATGACGCGCGCGAAGTCAACGAATTGAGGCTCCGGGGCGAAAGTGTCGGATGGGGGGAGGGAAAGAGAGACGGGCGCGACGTTGACAGCCCGTGCTAGTTCTTATAGGCGTGGAGCTCGCTTAAGGTTGGTTGACATACCGCCCGAGCTGGACCGCCGCTGACATGTCGGAACTTCTTAGAAATGGAGCGGTGTCGGTTTCCAAGCCGCAACCGGAGCTATTTTAAGTATCAAACTCGAACTACCTCTGAGGGTAAAATGGTAAAATGGCTAACAACGCTTTAGAGTGCAAACTGATGAAAGAGCTTGCAGTGAATTGAAATGTGTGCAAGTTGAAGTGCGCGAGACCGAAATCGCTGGCGCAACGACTTACGACAGATGCCATGTGTTATGCTGACGCAGTGCGGAGAGTCGCTTCGCAACGTGCGCTTTACAAAGCGGAAATCAGTGTGGACACCAGAAATGATTTGAGGAGATCGGATGATTCTAGGCCCGCGGAGCCAATCAGAGTTGTCTTCAGGGTAAAATCGAACTATTAATATGTTTCCTATCATTCATCGGGCTTGATGTCTATTCCATCTTCGCTGGGCACAAGAAACAGCATAGACTACCTTCGGTTAAATTCAACAGGATCACATGCAGCGATAAGCCTCGGGACATCTGGGCGCGGTTGAGCATAGGATCCGCCTTCGCCCGTCTGAATTGACCGTATCGACGCGTGTGGAAGTGACAGAGTCCGAGTCGTGCCGGAAGAATTGCCCAATCAGGCATCCAGTGTTATTGGTGATGGCGCCAAAAAAGTGTGAGTCCCGAGCAGCTACTCAGGACAAGACATATTTCACCAGTGAGGCGCGAGAAACGCGTCATTCTGGCATCTGTTTTGGCGGAAATTGGGTACAAAAAAAAAATTTCCAAGGGATGAAAGAAGAAAAAGACTGAACCGCGCGGTGTCGAAAACAACAGAGAGGGAGCGCAGCTGTACCAAGATTCTACAGAGGTTGTCTGCCCTCGGGGATTCATCAGGGTAAGCCCGGGCGGCCTGTCACCGGTGTCTTGATATTCTTTGTGGGCTGCTTCTCTTGCGTGATCACGAAGCGGAGACCCTGATCATGAAATGAAACCCTGAATACTTCGCCGTTCGGCGTTCGTCCTTCCCCGAGGGTTACAAAGTTTTCGGTCAACTTGGATATATTCCAAAAATAGTCTGCCGGCAATGGCGCAACCTGCATATGGTTACCAATAATAACTGCCCGCAACTTCAACACCTGTCCTAACACCTTCCCCCTCTTGATTCTGCACTTCCCCTCTGACTGCACGGGCACCAAACCCTGCCCCTGACGCGTCGCATGACGCGCCATCACGATGGCGTGCGCGCGGCCGGCATCAGTATGCTGTGTCGTAACCACTTTCCGAGCCGGTATCACCCCGGGCAGCGGATTCATTCATTAGGGAACGATGGCGCCGCTCCTTCACTGAGCGCCGCTGACTGACGCTGACCGATGCTGACGGCCACCCTGGCAACAATCACCCTCGGGCCATCATTTCTCCGCAGGCCGTTCGCCGCTTCTTCACCGCCTTGACGGCATCTTCATTCGCCGCGCCGAGAATTCCCCGACCCTTGATGTGATACCCTGAAGGGATCAAATCATAAACAAGGTCACGCACTTCTCTCCTTGTCTTCGCTCCACCACCACCCCTTCTTGCTGCTCGTCGCACCCGCCGTCCGCCAAGGTATGATACGCCTCCCCGTCGTTCTTCTCGTTGCTCATTGCCGGCTTCAGGTCAATCTCGACGGTGGGGTGGGCTCTTTGCTTGTTTCGGCGGGCTCGCCTCCAACAACGACTCTGCCGCTGCTGCTCAGGGCACTCATGTCAACACTCCGTGTCAGTCCAGACTCGTCTGTCCGGACCATTCACTAACTTTTGACCAGACTCTGTCCTTTCAGGGCTGCCCTCCAGCCATTCGCGCTGTGTATCCGAGTCAGCGTGAAGTCGCCTGGGCGCGCCCCCTTTGGTCTGTTGTCTGGGGGCAAGCCTCGAGCCATTATTGATGGATGCCGCCGTTCACGCTGTGTATTCGGTCAAGAGAAGTGCAAGGGTTGTCGGTATGTCTGGTCATCTTGCACTTGCGTTATGTTGCTAATGTTAACATAGCCACTGTCTGTCGCTGTGCTGCCAGTGTCAAAGGCATCGGTGTCCCGCGACTGTAGGGTCTGCATATCCAAGGCATCCACCGCCCAACAGCTCATGGTCGGTTCTCTCCATATATGGTATGACAAAGCTCTGACTCTCGAGCTTAGATTCAGGGACATCATTCATCGCAGAGGGGGAACTTCTGCTTGTCCGTCAAATCTCTACTCGTACATTGCCGCTTCACATTTGGTCCCCCTATTGACCCAAGTTCAGCTTCTATCTTGTCGTTATCCAGCGCAAAAAGGGAGGGGGAACCTCTGCTCGTATGACGGACATGTGCTGGTAAGTCATCGGTGCTGCTTGATGCTATGATATTAATGCGCGGCATAGATATGTTCCGTCTCTAGCTACACCACCCCGGAACTCTATCGGTACGTAGTCGTCACTGTCGCCGCATGATTTGGTGTTGATGTCAGCCTCAGATTCATCGTCGTTGTCATCAAAGTGGCTGCACTTGACAATTCAGAGGGGGAACCTCTGCTCGTCCGTCAAATGTCTACCGGTGCGTTGTTGTCGTTCATATTTTGTCTGATATTCATCTCAAACTTAGCTTCGATCTTGTTATTATTGACCGCAAAACGGATATGTGCTGCACCACCATCCCCGACCCTCTGCTCCGGTGATCAAGCTCTATCGGTACGTTGTTGCCGCTGTTGCCGTATGATCTTGTGTTGATGTCGGCTTAAGATCCATGGTCGTTGCCATCGATGTGATACCCCGCGCTGTCATCAGAGGGGGAACCTCTGCTCGTAGCAGTGGTATGTCATCTTGTTTGCTTATCCGTGTGCCTTGCATTGATTTTTGAAGTCCTCTGACATGATACTCAGCGTTGTTGCTGTTGTTGATCCTCGTTACCTGATGGGGAACGTCTGATCCGGCGCGCGGTAAGCTGTCACCGTTGTGGGGATGTTGTTTGAAGCTGATTTTATCCTCAGATCTCTGGGGGACCTCTGCTGGCCGAACCGGCTGCTGCCATCGGCAATGAGCGGCATATCATGATTTGATGCGATCATCAGATTTTGATGGTATTTTCGGGGTGCGTTTTGGCGCCATTTTTTCTGTATTCAAGGCTCAAATTTTCGCAGGTCCGGGCCGCCGGAGGCATGTGAAACGCCTTGGCTCTCAACTCTGCGTTGACAGCTGTTGCTGTCTCTCCCCTTCCGCCGTCGCTGTCAAACGCCCCAGATTTCACGGTCACCTTCCTTTTCGGGCCTGCCGATGGACGGATCAATGATATCATCATATTTTGATGGTATTTCCGGGGTACGTTTTGGCACTCACTTTTTGCAATTCAAAGCTCAATTTTTCCCAGGTCCAGGCCGCCGGAGGCCCGTGTCACGGCCTGACTATCAACCGTTGCGGGCACAGTGGTTCCACCACTGTTGCCAGTGCCAAATCAGTCGTTGCTCATCGTCGGGCTCACCTATTGTCGGCATCGTGTCACCCGACATCACCGGTGCTTCGCCCGCGATCGCGGCGCCTTTACCTTGTCCCTCAACGCCAATGCACACCCGCTCTGCCACGGCTTTCCTCGAAACCCTTTGCTTCGCCCCCGCCCCCCTTTATCCTCCTCCCGCGACCCCTGCCGAGCCGTTTGCCGATTGAGGCTTTGCCATGGCCTCGCTTCCGGCTCGCACCGGCAGCATTTACCATCTTCCCCGCTCGCCTTGCCTTCCTGCCCGCAGCGCATTGCCAACGTTGCGGTTTCAGACTTCGGCCTTACCTCGCTCACTCCTCCGACCCCTTGCTTGCCGTTGCGGTCACCTCCAGCCTTGTCCTCTGCCCGCGCTGAGTCGCCGCCGACCCATGCCGAGCGGTCTTCCAGTTCAGACTCCGCCAAGCCCTTGCTCGCTGCCCGCGTTGACCCTGCCTTGCGATGCCGATGTCTCCACGACATACTCCACCCTCCGCGTTATTCTCCTCCTCGGCCATCCCCGCGACCTTCTCCGCTCTTGCTGCGCGGACTGTCTTTGCGGCTCCACATCATCCACCCAACCTTCATGCTCCCTGCCTTACCGCCCATCCCGGCCGTCGCTACCCACGACCATCGCGGCCTTATCTTGTGTTGACCGGCACCTCTTGTGCCCTTAACTTTGATGGTATTTCTGAGGTGCATTTTGCGCCGCTTTTACGCGATTCAAGGCTCATTTTTTTGCAGGTCCGGGCCGCCGGAGGCCAACATACCGCCCCGACTGGCAACGCTGCCGGCACAGTGTTGCCCACTGTTGCGCCGTGTTGGGCGGGAGACGCTAGAGACGGCTTTATGACGCGTCGCAACGCGTGTTAGATGGCGATGGCTGGGCTGCGGAGGTGTTTTGCGTTGCGGCGCGCGTGCTAGAGGGCGCTGGACGCGTTTTTGCGAGCTGGCTGGACTTGGTGGACTTGTGCCCAAAAGACGCGTCGCGACGCGTGTTAATTAGCGTGTCTGGTAAAAATAGAAATGTATGGACTTTGCATTCTTTCGTGTCTGCCCGGAATGCCCGAGCCAGCCCAACCTCATGCCCCCCGCATCCATGCCCGAGAAGCCCACCAGACACGTCCAAAACCGTCCCCAAAGTCCAAATTTTCGCCCCACCAAGTTTATCCCGTGACTTTGAATAGGTCCGTGCGCCGAGAAAAGAGGTATATTAGAGGGGGCTCTCGCTCGCGCGACTTGGCGAGCGAGCGCGACTTAGCGTTGGAGCAAGCCGTGCGGGCACCAGTATGGTTTGACATGGGAAATAGAAACATATGAAGCCGGGCAGGAATTACGAGATCGCATGATGTGCTGAGGCCGCGCGTCCTCCGCAGGCACGCAGTTCTACACAGGACATCATCAGCGACCTTCAATCGGGGCACCGTTCACGCACATAGACGATCTCCAGACGCTGCGGCTTCCACGGCGCACCGTTGACCTCAACTGTACCAGCCGGCGCGCCGACGCGGTGTACGGCGCTGCGGACCGCGCCACGTGAGCCTGCGAGTGAGCCTTAGTTTTCAAAAAGAATCAGAAGCTTACCTCGCTGCAGCATGTCGCCCGCGTTAAGCAGCACCGCGCCAGGCACCGGGAGGATCGGCTGCCATGCACGCTCAGTCACGCGGGAGAGCGGAGGGAAAACGTACGTGGAACACGCCGGGCTTCTCGGGGTCCTCCACCTCGAGGCCCTCGACATCCCGCTGGAAGGTCAGCTGCAATGCGCCCGGGGTCGTATGCGCTGCAGCGCGCGTGATCAGGCCGGCGGCGATGGCCGATGCAGGGACACTGTCATTTTGTCAATGTGACGACTAGCGGGACGGACAATAGCGCACGGGTGGTACCGCACGAGGCGCAGATCATTTTCGCTACTGGTGCCGACGGCGAAGTGGTCGTCGGGAAGGCCCAGTGCGAGGGCGAGTCCACGGAAGACGGCGCTTTCGAGTGCGTGGCATTGCTGACGAGTTCAGCGAGTGAGGAGAGAGCGGAGGACACACCTCATACAGCCCCAAACAGCTCGCGCGGAAGCCGGTTTCCACCAGGCCGTCCGGCTTCTCGTCCAGCCATATGTTGGGCATACCCGCATTGTCTTTGCTCCCCAGCACAAAGCTCTCCTTCATGTCGGTGGGGTCCGGCAGCGCCAACTCCGCAGGCGTCGCGCGGTCCCGCCGCCCGACACAGAGAAAGCCGCGCGGGTAGGGCTGCATGGCGGGGCGCAGCGCGAGCAGCTTCGTGCCAAAAAGGGAGGGAGAACCACTGTCTGGCCTAAACAACAGTGGTCAGCTCTAGTCAAACCATTGGGAGGGAGACACACCATTGCAAACGCCGTCTCCACCGCAGCCTGCTCCACCCCGTGGTTCACGACATACACAAATCCAGTCTCGTGCAGCGCCGCAAGCAGCTTGTCGGCGACGGCCTGGCGTGCAGCAGCGTCGTCAGCCTTGTCGAGAAACGGTGCAAAGTCGACGACGGGAATCTTCATCTTCAGTCGGTGGTGGTGTCGTCCAGAAAGAAAGACGACCTGTGGGAGGCCGCGTGGCGCATCCTTGCCGTCCGCACCCATTCCCGCCTTCGCCGCGGGCAGCTTAACGTCCGCTCCCGGTCGGGAAGCCCAGCAGCATCTCGACGCGCGCTCATGGGCATGCGCGGAGGCAAGGGGCGTGGTGCCGGCCACGTGGCTGCGCGGCAGCAGATCGCGGCTCCCTTGATCGATAAGCGATTTTTCGGCCCTTCACATTGTCACAATGAGACTGCAAATGAACGGGGCGTTGCAATCCTCTAAGTGCACATATGTAATAACTGGGTAAATATATAAATGGTCCTCCTTTTTGACAGAGAAAAGGACTTTTCGTAGCCTCAATATTAGATCAAAGATGGTATGGAAGGTTTTGGACCACAATATTAGGTAAGTTTGATGCCTGCCAGTGGTTATATAACCCCTCTGAAACTCACGAGTCATATATTAGCCTCTAAAGTGCTATAAATACACTGTCTGATCACTGTTGTGACTGATTACATTACCAACTATCACTGTCTTGGCATATTTTGAGGGGTAAAATATATCGTGATATGGATTATAGTAGGGTGCTGTAATGCACAAAACATTACTCACACCAGTTTCGAAACACCCCCCATTTTGAAACAGTTTCTGGCCGGCTGGTCCGCGGACATTCGGCAGCTCAGAACAGCGCCGGCTATCATAATCCCAAGGCACACTATAGGCTAAGCCCTACTGGAGCAGCAGTGGAGCCCCACTACTGTGAAAACCCATCTGCCCGGCCTTCCGCCAGTAACTTGAAGTGCAGGTGATATTGGGAGGGCATCAAGCCCTGACAGGGCATCATGTGTTGGTTTTGAAACCGGGTCAGCTAGCCGCGGCTTTCAAAACTCTGTAAGGGCAACCCTGGAGGCCTGAGATCAAGGTCGAGCAGGGGAGGATCCAAAGTGTGAACATTAGTAAGCAAATACAAACGAAGCTGACCTAGCAGGGGAGGATCCAAAGAGAAGAAACTCTAAGGGTCCGCCTGCTAGGGAGCTGACTATATACTAAGGCTTCTCACGAGTGTCACGGATAAATACCTGTACTCTACCTGCGGGTAATTTAGGCTTCAAAACCAATACCTGCATTTGCAGCATCCGTGGGAAAACAGGTACCTGTACTCACGGATACGGGTACCTGCACGGGTTATCCACGGGTATTTTGAATAAAATATTAGGATACTGAGGTATATTGACAATATTAAGAGCTTATATAGAATATAGTATCAAGTAATATACTGATATGGACACTACAGGGCATAAGAAGACTGTAGTGACTGGAATATATAGAAGATAATGAAAATTAAGATCTTCCAGAGTCATACCTGTACTCTTGGCATCCGTGGGAAACGGATACCTGTATCCGCGGATGTCAAACCTGCGGATGTTTTCCTGCAGGTACCTGTGCAAACATCCGCGGGTGTTGACACTCGTGCGGAGCTTTACTATATACTGCTTGTCCGCAGCTGCTGCTATTGGGCACAGAAGGCCTGGGCGGCATCGCAGGCAAGGTCCCAGGGTGACTGTTGGGGGGGGGGGGCTTTGACAGATTGGTGATTGTGGGGGCAAGATGGAGGGCGGAACCGGACCGGAATTGGAGACGTCTCTGAGGGCCGAAAGGGAGGTTCCCCTGACAAACTCACATGTGTTTCAAAACCGGTTTTGAAACTGTTTCAAAACCACACTCACTCACAGCACCCTAGACTACAGCATATCATATTGTTCAGCCCAAAAGGATATCATCTTCATATCCTGGCCGATATATCTAAAATATATTCTGCACTACTAACAAGACCTATGCAAACTCTCAACACTTAAAAGACTTAAGCAAAGAAACTGAGAGGGACCAGAGAGAAGGAACAGAGAAGCAAGCAACAGAGCTAGATCAACAGGAACTAATACAGAGGCTTATATAGACTGATAGCCTAGGAGCTAGCAGCTCTAATTAAGAGACAAGTCAAGAGAGAAACAGAAAGGAACAGGAAGAGACAAGGGAAATGAAAACTAAGAGGTGACTATTGTATATAGCTACTGACTGAGTGGTGAGTCACATGACAGGCGTGACAAAGCTTGTGACCATATATGGTACAGTGCCAATCCCTACTCACTGTGGTATTGATCCATCCAGCATTTTCTTTTTGATTTTTCATGCGACCTGAGAAAATGATAAGAAAAATTACATTTTCATTTTAGCTTCTTTTTTCTGTTTTCATGAAACATATCACTGCCAAATACATAACCACCTACCTGTCAAACCCTGGGTTCAAGAAACCTTTTTCTTTGCCTTTTAAATCTTTTATTCTGGCCCTGGTTGATAAGATAAGACAAGGAGGAGATAAGATGGACAATAAGATGGTGATTGGATCATCAGATGTCAATGCTAATGTTGATTTACAGCATGGAGTTGGACATGAGGTAGACAGCACATAAAGGCATAGCTCAAGTATGATGTCATTGCCTCCCGTATTCAGCATGGTAAACATATGATAGTAGTGTATATAAGTAGAATAGATTTTGTCTTGTACCCTAGTCTTTAAATTACATCATCTTTACAATATCTTTTCACGGTGCTTCTTGCTTGCCTTCACTGGCCAACTGGCATCCTCTGAATTTGTGTTGTTTGTAACACTACCATAAATACTTAAGTTAGATACACAGTAGAAAAAACCAGTGTGACATTTGATTTCTTTAGTTCTTGTATATTCAGAGTGAATTTATAGCTGGTAAGTAAACTCCGCGGTGGACTGCGTTAGACCAGATGTATCTTGGATCTTTATAGAGAGCATCTAAAGTGATGGATGGGAAGCTGTTATTGCAATCAAAACCTAATCAACAATGTCCAGTGACAGTCGATCCTGCAACTTAAGTATTGCCAAGCTACTATTATTCACCCCAGCATGGTGAATAGCACTGATAGGAGATACATCTATATAGTCTAGAGTGCCTGGAGAGAAGGTGAGACTTTCAATGCTGGGATGCCCCGGAAGAATTTGTTGGACAAGGCCATAAGGGCAGTATACTGTCTTGAGTTTGGGAAGTGCAGCAGGCGAAAAGCACAGTTGGTGTCAATCTGACCCATCTCACTTCCAAATACTGTGGTTGGGGCTGTGCTAGCTCTCAACTGTGCCACAGGCAGGATAATATCCACAATTGGGCAAACAATAGAAAAGACCACAGAAGGGAGCCACTGCTGCATAAGAGATCTTATATTACTATGATTGACAAGTCCTGTCTGGGTCGAAGTGCTGATGGCCATTGGCTGGTAATGATTTATGACATATGATGAACAGGTCTTCAAGCTGGGCTAGGCAATGGCACGGGTAGGCCATACCCGCGCGGGTACGGGTACGGGTCAGCGGCAAACTTACCCGTTGCTTGATGACTCAGCTGGCTTTGCTCCCTTGTGGTGTCCAAGATGCTCTGTGTTCGACTGTGCTCTTGCGCAGCCTTTTTATCCCACCTTCCGGACAATAACCAAGCTGTCTCTTCCTCCCTGCCTGCCCAAACCATGGGTAAACCCATACCCGTACCCGCGGGTATGAGTACTGTGGCTGTGCGGGTACGGGTGCGGGTAGGCCCTCGGATACCCGTGGGTATACCTGTGCCATTCCCTATATACAATGGACTTGTTGACCTTATTACTTAGACATAGACGCCTCCACAGCACATTCCGCCTCCGGACCGAGAATCTGAACGATTTTCGCCCAACGTTTTCGGATCTGGACACTGCGGGTGGGGCTATTTTCGACCGCGGAGAGGACACACTCCGGAGTTTAGTGTGATTTTTCCTCCTAAAAGTTGATACAAAAAGTACTACTTTTTGCAAAAAAATCATTTTTACAGGAAACAAATGGTTTCTGCAAAGGGAAACCACTTTAACCAGTTTGTATCAAATTTTCCCTTTGCGGAAACTATTTGTTTTCTGTAAAAATATTTTTTGCACAAAAATTAGTCCTTTTTGAATCAACTTTTGGGAGGCAAAATCACGGTAAACTCCGGAGTGACATTCTCCGAAGCGAGCGCGAGGTCGACGCCCTGGGTGGGTGTCGGCGGTGGCACGCGAAATGCTGACCCGGACGGGGTCAGGTCGAGCCATGCGGCATTCTCGTCGCCGGGGCGGCCGGGCTCGATAGTGTCACGAGCATTGGGCGGCGGTGGTGCGATCGCGAGGCGCTTGCGGTTACGGGCGTGGCGCTTGGGCGAAGTGGAGAGCGAGCGCGACAGGGACTTGACCTTCGACTTTGGCACGGCGAATCGCCGGGTGTGGGCGGCTGGAGTTATTTTGCGGACGATTCGCGCGACTTTTGTGTATGACGAGCGCACAAAAGAGGCAGGCCCGGAGCGGGCGGGGCGGGGGCGCCGTGGAGACGGGGGGCTGGCGACTGCGAGCAATGGCTCAGCAGAAGGAGAGCGGTAGAGAGTGTCGGTGGAAGGGAAGGAGGGGAGATTTAGGGTGGATGCAAAGAAGGACATCGAAGTGGGCTGAGTAAGGATGTTAAGGATAGTGCCAGACTAGTGAGTGGTGGGAGCAGGATGGGAGTGGATGTCGGTGGTGTACGTCTTTTAGTATCTTGTCTCCACAAAGGCTTGAACGTGGGCTTGAAAACGACAAAAGGAGGGTGAGCCCAAAGGGGGTTTCAAAGTTTGTTGCGCATCTTTTGTTCATTGAAAAGTCATTTGACCAGAGACCATCGTTTCCGCTTCTACGGGTTGTGTCGACTCAGGACCAAAGTATGTCGGGATGCACGTCGTGGTCGAGAAGAAAGAAGCATTTGACGTGGCACGTGAGTCACGGCATGGTCCGTGCGCACCACGTCAATCACGGGCCAACCCCATTACTTGCTTCCTGCCCTCTCATTCGGAATCTGGTCCTGGCGCTTGGTGCTATAGCGCAGTGACGATGTCTTTGCAATGCCGCCCCATATGCATGTCTGGTACGCAACCCTCGTCCTACAACCGCTCCAGCTCACGAGATGTCGTTTTCCTGAACAGTGAAGAGCCATATTAGCGAGCCGCGACACCCAAAGTACCAATGACTTGCGACGAGTGCGCGGTGGCGGGAAGATGACGTACTGGTGCGACACTCCGAGTCCCTTACCCTCGCCGCGATCGTGATCCTCGCCAGCAATCACAGCCACCCGTTTCCTCTCTCCTTCGCTCCTCCATCTCGTGGGCAGCTACTCCCTTGCTCGACAACCCAACGACACACGGCGAGGCGCGTGCTTTCCCCCGGTATCTTCCCCCGCTGCAATATTTTCTGGGTCGAGTACTTCGGAAGTTCTTCCCGATGGCAACCCGACCTTCAAGTTTTGCACACTACGTGTCTTCGCGCGACGCCATGCAACTTGAAGCCGCACCGCCGCTCATTTCTCTCGCCCGCGCGCTCTCCCTTCCGCACGACCGTGACGGCCTCGCCGCGAACAGATGGCTCGGCGAGGTGTGTCCCCCTTCCTTTCGCATCCCCCAACTCCAATCGGCGACAGCATGCCGACAGACGCAAGGCGAGCCATAGCGAGGCCGAGAAGAGCAAGACGACGACCGGCGAGCGCCTCGTAGATGCGCTTCGGGGCGCTGTGCAGCGCCGCGAGATGAGAATGCGCGAGGAGGGAGTTGATGAGGTGAAGTTTTGCTTCAAAATATCTTCTTCTGGTCAAGAATCATCCACTGAGGCGATGCAGGTACCAGACGGGTGGCCCTGGCCGACGCCTCTACCGCATGAGCTTGCGGACGCCTCGAACACACTCCCAGTAGTGCCAGCTCGCGTATGTTTCAAACTTCCCACAACGTTGGCTCACTCACACTCCAGAACGTGCCGGCGCAAACTGCGGTATTGGTACGTCCCGCCCCGCCCTAGTTTTGTTCGCCTCTTTCTGAAACAGAGGATAGGACTCGGACGTCGCCATGGTCAGCGTAGTCCCGCGGGTCGACCGGGCTGCGGAGCGCTTCGAGCGGCAGGAAGCCATGATCGAAAACTTGCATGAGCGTGTGCATGATCTGTTGGAGGACCGCAAGGAGATGAAGGAGGTGCGCGCTCCGTTTTTGCTCAGATCGCGGGTCGATTAACGGCGGGTTTGTCCAGCGATACGAAGAACTGTTGACAGCGACGAAAGAGCTGCAGGAGATGCACGACGAATTGAAGAGGGCGAATGAAGAGTTGAGTGGCGCGAATGCAAGTCTGCAGATGAAGTTGTCCGAGTTGGTGCGTCATATCGCTCAGACGTCCGCCCCATTCTCAAGGTTTTGTAGGCGTCTAAAGGGAGTGTGGATCCACGCGAAGCAACGATGCCAGGGCAAACTGTCTCCCCTGCGGTGGACCCCGAGAGACGCCTCTACCTCGAGTTCATGGCATCCCTCCCCTCGCCACCGCCCACGCGTCCCGCCTTCCGCGAGCTGCAGTCGGTATTACCACGCGTTCGTGACTGGTACCGCGTCGCGAAGCAAGAGGTAAGCTGCGCCGTCCAAACACATCATCGTTGGAATCTAATGCAGACGACAGGGCAACTCGGGATCCACGCGCGCTTTCCTGCTTCTGGCGGGCCGCACGGTCTGGTGTGATGATACCCAGAAGACGCATGCGCTGGCCTTTGCGCCCCAGGTTTTTCTCTGCTACTCGGGGCTCGGCAGGGCGCCGGAGTGGCTGCCGAGCGGCGAGATGGCGCGGCGCGTTGGCGAGGAGGTGGAGCTGTTTGTGGCGCTGCGGCCCGGGAAGGAGTCGGATATTGTCATTGAAGACGCACGGGACGATGCAGTGTACTACGCGGGCGTGTACAAGGTGCATAGTCTCCGGTCAGTGCACGAACCAGGGTCGGCGGTCCCGCCTGATGTGGTAAGCTGGCTTGGGTGCACTCTGTGATCAGGCGACTGACGATAGCCTCTATAGTCGATGTATCATTTCCTGCGCGCGATGAATGTGGATGTCGAGATCCCCGGCGATATGTCTCGGCGTCAGCTACGGGAGATCCTACGGAAGGCGCTGCCAGAAGGCGAAGATGAGTTGCCAGGCGTCGAATGCTTTGGACTGCAGTGTATTGGGTTTGATGCGGGGCTCTATGAGACGCTGCGGACACAGGCAGCAGTGTGTGGCGTGAAACGGTGTGCGAGTGAGGCTGGGGTAGATGGTGGGATTGTTGGCGGCAGGACCCGCAGGAGGGTGAAGGGTTGAGGAGGTTTATGATTATTTAACGGGCTTGGATTCGATTCGATTTGTAGCGCGGTGTATATGCACATTGTTGAGGATGGAGATGGAAGAAAGGGCGCAGAGGAGCAGGAGGATGAAAGAAGAGTATGAATTGTTGTAGCTATTACATGTCTTTATATATTGTAGCTGCTTGTTCTAGATAGTTCTACAGGGATGAAGAATAATAGTAAGTGGAAACGGACAGAAGCTCGGGGAAGGTCCGGAGCGGCCGGGCTGAATAAGCGCCGGCCGGCGATGCCATTCCCAACACACATATGGTCGATAGGGATCATCATTTACGTCTCATCTCGATCCGCGACGAATTGGGTTTCTGTTGTCGATCAGCCACTGCGCGAGTGGAAAAATAATTAGTACGCACGTGGAATAGCCCCGCTCCGCTTTTGCGCTAGGAATTCTTCGGCAACGGCCCAGTAGTTCCAGCGGTTGAGGGCGCCTTCGTCCCAGTCGACGTATGCGGTAATGACCAGTCGCTGGTCGTGTGTGAGTGCCTCGGGGGCGCGGGGCAGGACGCCCATCGGGTTCTCCTCATCCTGCAGAATCACAAGGAGCAACAATTGCGGGCACGCGGCAAGGATTTTTATGATCACCCCCTCGTCCAGTGTGTTTAGCGCGAGGTGCGTCAGCCGCGGGAGAGCGGCGCAGAAATCGGTGGCGCCAGGTACCACGTAGAACAACTCTAGGCGCGTGATTCCGGCAAAGACGGGCAGGGCGGCGTCACTCGGCATCAGTTGGCAGACGCGTGGGTCGAATGCCAGACAGCGGAGGTGGCGGAGCAGTAGAAGCGCCTCGCGGACGACAGGATCTTGAGTGGAAAAGCCCAAGGCGAGATGTGTAATGTTAGAGCAAATACGCAAGGGTTCCACGGGTGGGATGTTGATGTAACCGGAAACGATGACGTGGCGCACAGTGTCAGCGAGAAAGGCCTGTCGAGAAGTATCCATGGTGGTCAGATCAGGCGATTTGTACTCGGGGCCGAAGCGTAGCGTAGCGTAAAGGAGAGGCTCCAGCCTCGCGCGCATTTAGCGTACTTATAGCGAAAATTCATCGTATGACTCACCAAAGTCGGGTGCGCCGCGCGACGAAGAGGAGAGTGTACAAGGTGTGCAGGGAGGCTTTGGCGGCTGTGCGGAATATGACCAGCTCCAGTTCGGGCGGAAGAGCGGGAGAGGAGGATGGCATCGGCGCGGATGCTCAGATCGCAGGTGGTGGTCAGGAACAACCCCGAAAGGAAGTTATGTCACACGCTACGACACATGTCACGTTATGTCACACGTCAGGTTTGCTTGCTTGTCTTCCCACACTTGCTTGTCCTCTGCTCCTTCCCCACTTGTGTTGGGCAGCCAACGCGGCTGAGTGCGGAATCACATCGCGTCAGCAAGATGACATCACCGTATGATGTCAGAATCCGGGAATTATTCTTGCGACAGATTTCTGCGCAAATTTAGCTATCTGCGACTTTTTTTTGATATATATTCATTACTGCAATACATTTTTTACACACCATACAGAGTCAAGTTAGCAACACATTTTTTTTCTGCCATGGACACAGCGCGACTTTCCCTGCCACCACACGACTTTTCTGTAAGATGTTGTGACTTTTCTGCACGCACACCAGCAGTGCGTCACTGGTTTGGATCGGTCCATCAATTGACCTTGAGCCAGTCCATCTCCGAGAGTGTTACCTGATCCAAGACAAAGTGTTAGTCCCTTTGTCCACTGTATCACTAATGATGGCATTCTGAGACATGGACCTGGAAGCTCACCCATCACTGCCTGATTCCCTCAGTCTTTCTCTGGAACCCAGCACATTCCCATCTCCAACTCTCCGAGGCATGTATGATCACTGCCAGACCAAGACATTTGAGGCAGCAGCAGTGGGTCTAAATAAATATGTTACAAGGTCAATTTGCGACTTCTCTACATTTGTATAACAAAATATGTCGCGCTACTAAAAATACAAGGAAAAATGTTACAAAAATGCTGAATTTGCGACAAAATAGATTGCAGGATTTAGTCCCCATTCCATACACCATAATCAGCGCGCCTTGGGATCACGCACATCAAACGCGTACACGCGCTCAATGGCAATGCATCTCCGCTCGTCATCGAGTGCGGCCCTGGAGCTCGGCCTGACTCACCCTTGGAGTCATTTCTTCTATCACATATATATATAAAGCATGTATCACATAGTTATAGTAGTTTTTCGCTCTAGGGTGCTGTGAGTAATTCCCTGGGAAACGGTTTCGAAACACCCCCCGTTTCGAAACCAGGCGGTTACCGGGGCTGGACCGCCCGGTGATGGTAGCCGGCGATGGTGCAAGTCGGTCTGAACCTTGACCAACCAAGTTTGGCACGGAGAACTCCATGGAAGTTGCGAGGGCTGGTCGCCCCAGTTGGCCAGCAAGCCCATAAATTTGATTGCCGATGGCGTGGTGGGGAGATCCGGGATCACGCGGCCGTCCTGAGAGACACGTGCCCGTTTCGAAACCAGGTTGACCCTCGACTGATTTCAAAACTTACACCGGTTTTGAAACTGTTTCGAAACAGCTTCAACTCACATCACCCTATTTCGCTCCCCTCCATTTATAACCCAAAGTCACCCTTGCCATCGCGCTCGTCCGGCCGCTTAGTCACTATGGCATTTGTCATTGCCACTACCTCATCCACCACACTCCCACATATCCCCCAGAGCCCTGGGTATGAAGGTACTACGCACTTAGTAGGCCATGCACAACAGGGTGATCAAATAGTTATAAATATTTTTGTGCTTTGACAAGGAGTTTTCGCCCCTTCACAAGTAGTTCAGTTGTTTATACCTGATCCACGCATCCAAGATTTCCTCTACTTTCCACTCCAGGACTCCGTCCTCGAGATCCAGAGGGGGCTGGTCGTAGCCGGGGTGTCTGTCGAAGGGGTCGTCTTGAGCGAGCTCAAGCTTGACGATGGGGGAAGACCGGGTGGAGCTTCGAGTAGCGCGGAGGGAGGTCGAGCTTCTAGGCACCTTTGCTGATCTCCGCGACTATCTTGAATGGTCCCAGACGGCGGTGGGAGGACTTCTCCGAGGGGCAAGTCGTCCTGATGTCAGAGGCATCTAGCCAAACACGGTCGCCAACCTTAAACTCTGCAGATGGAGTGCATCTCCGGTCGTAGTAGTGCTTGTACTCCTCTTTGGCCTTAGCGAGCGCGGCCTTCGCTTCGGCGACACCGGTGGCAATCCGGTCACGGAACTCGTTCACTGACTCCATGGCGGAACAGACTCCGGGTTCAAAGCCCATGCACGGGAGTCGTCCTGTGTCCGTCATGAAGGGGACTTGTTGGGTGGAGGAGTGAACGTGGTTGTTGTAGGCGAACTCCGCAGCCGGAATCAGCTCGTCCCAGTCGTCCTGCTGATAGTTGGTAAAGATCTGCAGGTACTGTTCCAACTCTTGATTGACGCGCCTCCGTCTGGCCGTCCGTCTGCGGGTGATACTGTACTATTTCATTCAATTCTGCAGGCCTGTGACCTGTGACCTGTGACACATGTGGCAGAAATGTGCAATTCAGCCAAGGGCTGAATTTGGTGTGACCTCCTGCCTTATATGGAAGTTCTGCGCACCGTAGGCGCGGAAATTTTCGGAAATTACCATTTTGGGACGGTTTGGGACCAAAGAAATTGACTGTGACCTGTGACAGGCAGAAAATTTTGGGCCAAAAAATTCAATGTGACTGTGACAGGACTAATTGATTGAAATAGTACAGTACGCAGTGGACGTGGCAGGCTTGATGCCGATTAGACGCCAAAGTTCTCGGGTGAAGAGACGGTATGCCAATGCTCTGGGGGCGTTTCTGTTGTGTGCAGCTCTCCGAAGTGCCTTGGTGCGACAGCACAGGTCACAAGTCACGACGTACCGGCCAATATGGCAAGACATTTAAGGCCACCAGTAGTTCTGGGAGACCAACTCCAAGGTCTTGAAGTGACCAGCGTGTCCGGCGACTCGAGTGTCGTGGCAGAGCTCAATGATGCGTCTCCGCAGGTCCTTGTCCTTCGGTACGACGATCTTCCCACGAAAGTGGAGAAGACCGCCGGAGACGGCCCACCCATCGGAACATGAGGAGCGGGGGCCTCGAGCTTGACCTTGGACCTTAAGGAGTTGCCGGGCCGCTAGTGCAACGGGCTCCTCGAGGTCAGGCTCACCAGATAGGGCATCACAAATGTCGCGAAGGAGTCCGGAACCGGGGCCGGAAATGGAAACGCCTTCCAGTGCGCGGACATGGAAGAGTTCGGGCCGCAGAAGGACGACGGCCACAGTCAACCAGACCGGAGAGTGAGAGCTTGAGCGCGCTGGTAGTGGACTCTAACTCCAATGGGAGGTGGAGGGAGTTCACTCCGGGGGAGGCAGCAACGGTGTACTGCTTGGGCAATTTCTTTTCCCAGGCCGTGAGGCGGCGAAGGACTATGCAAAAGAGGGGTTCCCCTGACAACGACATGGCACTCTTTCTCCCTCCCCCACTTAATTATTTTTTGTCCGCAACAACTTACACATTGATGGCCCATCCTTCTTTTATGCTGTTACCTCCTCCAACTTGAGGAAATGTCTCTGTAATATTGCCTCAACATTGATTCTCTCCGGAATATCTACCAATCTTGAAATCTATGTTCACGTTCAAGTTATTTTTTGGCTTTTGAGACTTTTCTTACTCAACAAATTGCATACGTGGATTTTAATTGTTTTTGTTAGTTAGTTTGGTTAGAGAGCTCATTTTCTGTCCCCACTCCACACTTATTAGCAGCTTCCTTGTTTGGGTCTGCTTGAATGCATTACCTGACACGTCCTCTGCCACAGCAGCTCGTTTGGCTTTATTAGCCTGTTTTATCACTTTCTCTGTGGCCTTCTCCTTCTCCATAGTGTAAACAGCTTTCACCTGGTTCTAGAAAGCTTCAGAACATAAGGGGTAAATAAAAGCGAGTAATATAACACAGGCCATCTAAATTAACTCCCCAAAGTCCTACTATGTGACATATTGTCCCTTAAAGTACATTTTCACCAACAAAGACCTGAACTGGTACTTATGTCCAACTGTTAGACAGAGTGTCACAACCATAACAAATTTCCCAAAAAAAAGGAAAATTTCATCATAAAACAGCTAGAGAGCCTGGTATCACACGAGACACGGCACAAATACGGGCAGAGTTACAGAAGCAACTGAAACTTGCAATCGAGGGGAAAACAAGCACTGTTGAAGTGTCATAAAAAACACTAGAATGAAGGATAAGCTGGCCCAATACTGGATTGAGAAAGCATTGCAACGGTTTAGTGCTACGAAGAGCATGGATCCTAGGTGCAAAGACTAGGAGATTGCGCGTGAGGTGAACCAGTGGCTACAGGATCAGCCTGGAAACAAGTTAAATCCACTGCTTGATCTGATTGGGCTGGAATAATTTACTATACCTTAGTATCATACCAGTTACAAAATGTCACACTGACCTTTGGTAATAATATAAGAAATGACTTAAAGTCTGGGGTCTTAGAGGTATTGCAGTTTTATAGCCCGCTTTATTGCAGCATAAGTAGGGCTTTTTTATATCATCTCTTCTAATTATAATAGTTATCTGCATAGGTGGTCTATTCTAATTAAAAAAGATAATTGAGATTAACAGGTGATAGGAAGAAAGAATTGAGTAGGATGGATGAAGTATGCAGCATGTGGAGATACACTCTACAGACGACTAGCTGCCGCGATCTGCGAGAGATGTTGCTTTCTATTAGTTGGCGAGTAAGCACATGACTTGCCATTTTGGAAAGTTGATACTGATTGCTTATTCAAGGTGCAAGCATAGGTGGGAGGAGAGGAGAGAGGCCCGCACGTTTAGTTCAGCGCTGATACGTCAGCAATGGGCGCAGGGAGTCATAGTGGTGATATTTTTACAAATGTCCCCTGCCCCTGCAGGAGGTACATTTTTCAAATTTGCCTGCAAGGCAGGAAAGACGCATTGCAGGGACATTTGACAAATTGCTAGTTAGATTATATAATATAGAGAATCTTGAAGCCTTTTAAACTTTATTAAGCTTATTTTAGTGATTCATTTGATGGCACTGATGCTATTTATGAAATGTGATTAATGTGGAAACATTTTTAATTGCCATCAGTACTTTTAATGACTATATTGAGTTACATCATTCTTGTCCCAATTAGAATGT